CCAAATATTTCGGCGAATTATTCTGAAACCGAAATTAATAATCTGACATCCTTTGTTCAGAACTACCCATCCAATATGAATGTTCTCAACCAGGAATCATCGAATTACACCTCAATAACCCCAAGCAATCATACTTCTGTCCAATTTAACCAATCTGCCATTAACACAGAAATCAATAATCTTTCAAGTTTTATTCAAAACTTTCCCTCTAATCTGAATGTCCCTAAAAATATGAATGTAGAACCACTGCACAACACAGGTTTACACACCTTACCTTCTGATCAAACCAATAATGGCGTGTTGTCAACAAACGAAGCAGCCAACACCCCCACCCAGTTGAATTCGCATAGTTCACCAATTACACTAGGATTCAACTATGACGATTTTCATGATGATACATTTTACGATGAATATCTACCAGATGTATTGTCTCCTCAAGTGACGCCAATCGACGAATCGGTAGCAGCTAGTAATCAATCATCAGATATAAGCTTATCCTACAGGGACGATGACCTGTATGCCGGCTTCGATACCCCTGATCATCTCCAATCCGATGAAAACGAAATATTTGATGATTCTGATGATTTTATGAAAAATGTCGATTTCCAATCATTAGGACTAGATAACTTTGACCTGGATTATCATCTTGGTGCAAGCAAGGAATTCGATTATGCCGATGATCTGGGTGATGATAGAACAGAACAAGAAAATGAGGCATTTGATTACGTTGCAGATTTACGGAATATTCAAGAGCAAAATCAACAAGCCGTCAATATCAAAGAAAACCTATGGGATTTTGCAGATGATTCGAAATCTAATGAACACGGGTTATCCGAAGAGCTGATAGATGATCCAGAAGATTTTCAAAAACCGACATTAAACTTTGGATTAAACCATATAGGATCTGGGATGACGTCAATTGATGTTGGAGGTCAGCCACATTCTGATGACGAATATGAAGCAGAGGATCGAAATGAGGAATCATTAAACCATTATAATCTATTCGCAAGGTTTGGTCATTCCGCAAAATACGTTCCAAGAAACAACGTTGTCGACAATACCTCCAAAACACGCCCCCACAATATATACGGCCAACGATTGGCTACCTTAATGAAAGTATACAATAGCAATGCAAATTCAGGAGTCAACACAGAAGGGAAATTCAATGACCCCAACGCGCTAATGAACGTCTATAATGTCATTATGAGTACGAAGAAGGGCAAGACTTTTAAGAAAGCCTTGCCCAAAACAAACAAAACAATTCCAGACAGCAAAGGGGATCGTGCAAAACAGATACGGAAACTTCAAAGAATCCAGAGATTGATGAAAATCGCCGCTAAGCGACAGGGATCTGGAACCGCAAAGACAACGCCAACAGAACAAAACAATTTCTACAAAACAAATCCAAGTTCTAACCTAAGGGATATTTTCCGATATCCGTCCGATGTACCCCAAAGCGCTTTTAAACCAGGGGCTCCTAACAGTGGGTCCACTTATCAATATTTTCCGCAAAATCCGTTGCCCAGGACAGAATATGACGAAATTGATGAAGCAGAAGATGATTTCATAGAGGATATGTTTGGGTTAGCAGGATTTAACGAGAATCCTACAGTCCACAGTAGAAAGAGTCTATATGGTGAGTATGAAATGTAAATATTCAATGTGAAGTTTATTAGTACAAATCTTTCAACTAATAAAATATTTTCCAGAAAATAAGAATATCGAAATGAATGTACGATTTAGTGCATACGGTGTATTTATGCAAGTCATGGAGTCGATCCCAGGTTTGTAAGTTAGAAGGTGTAGGGTCGACTGCCTAACCTAGCGGATATTCTCGGGGTTTTTTTTGACTTTTAGATTGGACTCTAAACCCCACAACATCTCTCAAATCTGGTGACAGTCAGACGACAGACACAGTGGGGAAGAAGAGTTTTTGAAATTAGTCGCGGCCTTACATCTACGTTCAAGACACGACTTTATAGCACTTAGGAATATTTCATGGGTAGCTCTTTGAGTATAGCTTAAGCTCATTAACCAGGATCTTTGCAATCTAATGTATCTGAAGTCATAGCAACTGATTACATTTTTCAGGAAGATGTCCTGCTCTACCAATCAAGGTCAACAAATCCTTGGTAACAATACAAACAGCAGAGGGTTGTGAAATGTAAGTACTTTTAAAAAAAAATAAGTTAATGTCTGTTTGAAATTAGCTGCATAAGCTCGATTCCGATTAGAACATCGTCTAGCTGAAATCGTAAAACAATATGTGTCAATTACTCACTCCAAGTAATTAATTCCCTTAGAAAAACATGCATAACAAATTGTGCCAAAGCGTGGCTTAACTATTGTGACTTACGTTCTTGAATTATTTACTTTTACATTCTAGTGTCATTACATTTGCTGCAAATGGAGACCAAGATGCGAATCTTGATCGGTAAGTTATGTAAAATTAATTTATTGATAATGACAAACTGAAATGAAAAGAAATGGGGTTTAGCTTCCTACTTTTCTGCACCGACAGGGCTAATGAAGACTGACATACGCCATGCACTGCGCGATAAGGGACACTTTGCTCGGATAGTGGAGCTACGGCAAACTCTTATACCGAATTCAAACTGTCAGGTGTTCTATTACGTGCACGCCAATGTGTATACCAAACTAAAATAATGATAATGACATCTAGTAGCAAGTAGACACACGTGAGAATAAACTATTCGTCGAAGATCGTATAATGCACAGTTCTCATTGGTAAACAAAAATCCGAGTGGTAAAAAACCACAAGTATAGATTATCATATTGTATTATTTCTTTTATTCTTCAGGGACAATCTTGATGTTAAAGTATCGTATAGAACAACTACCAACCGAAAATAAACAACACCACTAACATTGATAATAAGAGATAGAAAACATCAAATAAAAGGCAGCAGGACGTGTTCAGTAAATTGAACAGGAGGGGGTCGGGGTGCGGACAAGACCAAGTCTGGCGTGAGCTCTGGGGCCAGTTGTTCAAAACGCAGCAATTTTATTATTTTAACGACCCGTTAGCATAGAAACAATCATAGGGTTTGCACAACATTCAACAACCGGCCCCAGGGAGATTAATCTAAAGTTTGGTAAAAGCAGATAATCTGAGATAATATTTCTACTCATTGAGGCTCACACACGTATATGTGTGGCGTGGGGTCAAAGGGGCGCCATTCGACGTTATTTCGACGAATGTAGGAGAAATAAAATATCGCGAGCCGGGGATGATGCCCCCTCCCATCTCCCGCCCCTGGACACGCTCTTGTTTAAATATAAATATTATTTATTGACAGCAATCTATAAGTTAAGTAATAAAAGTTAAAAGCGGTATGCAAGACAGAATAATTCGTCATCATAAACCAGCTTTTGATCACAAAATTTGTTGAATGTGTATATTAATTTAGAAATACTAACACTTTATGTTCTGTTACTTAAAGATGCATTATGAGAGATTAGATAAAGAGCTGGTAGTTTTCACTATAATAGTTAAAAACTAGATAATATAAAGGGAATTTACTGAAAATTTCAGTGAAATTGATCCCCCTGAGCCAAGTATTTAGGACTGAATTTTGGGCCTAGCCTCGATCATCATTACTAAAGCCTGTCTCGACTATCCAGTTTTTTGATTTAATCAGACGCAACAGACCGGGTTCTAATCCAGTTAATATCGTAGGCTAGCGATGACATCGAGAGTTGATTATTGTCTGGATAAGTTAATTAATGTCTAATTAATGATTTAGATAACATTTCAGGCCTAAAGAAAGACCTGCAATAATTGGCAGATTTAGCTCTTGCATATTGTATGTTTATGATCTTCTTGAAAAATAAGAATCAGTAAGAGAGAGACATGTGGTTTAACGTCAACTCGACAGCCAGGTCATTTCGAGACTAACATAATGGTACAATTTTATTTCAATAATTTGCTTGTGCGTAGGGGTCTTTGGTAGCGGGAGGAAACCGGAGAAGACCCACGAGGTTGGAAAGAAGGACCTACCCCTTATCACGTACAAGCGGGGAATCGAAAATACAAAGGCTGTACATTGTTGTTGTTTGAAAAAAAACCCCAAATAACAATATTGCTATTTTAGACAATATATTTATATCATTATATAGCCAATAATTGTTATTGATGAATGGGGTATCTGCGTTTTACATAACGTTGCAAACTAGTTTGACTGATGATATTTAACCACCTGTACTGCAGTCAGGAAATACAGAGTTGTAGACAGTTCCCAGCATTTCTCCTATTTAAAGGAGCACATTTTTGTAAAGCTTTCAAGCAATCTAACTTGAATGCCACCAAAGTTGTATTCCTCCATAGATTTTAGATTTGGGTCAATATTTATTATTCAGTAATACAAATGGCGTTCAGTTGTATCTTTGGAAAATATATAGATTTTAAAGTTTATAATTATTAAACCCGATCACCAATTTAAAATGATCCTTGTTGACTATCATCACTAAATCGTTATTGTTTCAACCCTATTCAGATATAATTAATAAAATATAGTTTATAAAAATTGTTGTTATATTTAGGGACCATGGTCTCAACCGCTACTCGTGGATGTCAACGGCTTTTTAGAATAAAGCCCAAGACTCGATCTGTATTGTCTGCGATATCACCTCGGTGGAAGCGGACGTAAAATACAACTAACTAACAACAACGACTCGATCTGTCAATTCAAGTACGATGGACATGCTTAATTATTGCACAATTACACATCGATTGACGGACTTTCAAATTTGACATGTCCAGCTCCGATTGATCCAACCACAGCATTTTGTCTTCCAAATTCAACAGATGATTGTCTTCTTGATCATGAGTGTTCTGGTTAAATTAAATGTTGCGACGGACCTTGTAATGACAAATTCTGCGATCATCCGAATTTCATACCCCCACCCCCCCCCAAAAAAAAAACAACAAAAAAACAAAAACAACCCCCCCCCAAAAAAAAACCCCCAAAAAAACCCCAAACAAACAACAAAACCACCCAATCAACTGTTTAATAGCATCATCGACTGACTACGCCAGAGATATCCATCATATTTCAACCAATTCTAGATTTCGATTTAAAAGATGCTAAAACAAACAGATTTGGTTTGATACTTTTCGAAGTCTAACGATAATAAAAGTTACAACTTAATACAACAGTGTTCTGTTCTTTGTTATTATATGGCTTTAAATAAATCAAATACATTTATATGATTTTGTAAGGGCAATCGAAAATATTTAATTGTGTATTTTCGATAATCGGAACAAGAATGGCAGCTGGCGTAGCGACATGCGTCCATACGGGATTTGGCAGCTTAAGCAAGATTGGCAAATCCGTATCAGTCACACCAGGCCCCGAGTTTACAAAGCATTCTAAGACTAAAGTTATGAATTTACTCAACTTTCAATCACTGTTTATGAGAAATATCTTTGATCCAGAAAAATAAAACTTTGCACTAATTTTTTTTTGTTGATGTATTTTTTATATCAAAACAACAAACGTTTTATAAAGGGCTAAATTTTAGTTAAAATACGGCGAACAATTTTGAGTAAATTTTTAACTGAAGTCTAAGAATGCTCTGGAATGCCGATTTCTTACTTAAAGGGGCTAAACCTCTATTCTTTGAAATCACAATAAGATTGATAAGTGGTATAAAAGCACATAATGATGTAATATGAATGTACTGGTATACAAACTGATTTACATTCAATTTATTAAATGTGCACCTGGTTAGTCAAGTCGATAAGTCATTTGGGGATCAGTTATCTATGACATAAGTTTTGTTGAATTTAGCCGAGTACTCATTAGGACCATCGCTACCAGAATACTAACAATTCCTGAAATTCATATCAGAGTCAGTTCATAATTTTACTCTGTACAGTAAGTATGAATATGGTAATGTGGGCTACTGTGCGTTTATCACAAATTACATATAATATGTGCAATAACCCTGGAAGAACATTTGGAATGAAATGGGGTTTAAAGCCCTTCTTTTTCAGCACTAACCAGGTTAATGAAGTAAGGAATATAAAATTGTATAAAGTACATACAGTGTACTTTGTATTATTAGTTGCAAAGAATCTTGATTCCAATAAATCGAATGGACATAACCACTGCATAAATACCAATGGGAACCTCGTGATACTAAAATAACAACTAGTTCGTAAATGCCTGAATTGGTTATTTTGGCAAAGATTATAGGTCGACGTGGCTTGTCTGCATATCGTCTGAAGAGGATGTCTGATTTTCAACTCATCATATCTTTGCAAAATGGCGCGTGCGCGTTGCATCATAAGGTCTGCCATTGAGTCAATTGGCGTGGTTTCGATTCCTCCGTTGTACGTGACAAGGAGTTGGGTCGTCTGTCCAACCTCGTTGGTTTTCTACGGGTCCTCCGGTTTACACACGCTGCTAAAGACCCCTACGCGCATTCGAATTATTGAAATAAAATGGTCCCGAAGTGACCTGGTTTGTGTCGAGTGGACGGACGTTAAACCCCATTTCTCTCTCTGTCTCTGTCTGCCTGTCGGTGTGTGTGTGTGTGTGTCTCTCTCTCTCTCTCTCCCTCTCTCTCAATATACACGTATCTATATAGTTATGTGGCTTTAACTATGAACTTCTAATTTCCAAACGAAATTAAAAAAAAGTATAAATATAAATCACTATAAGGAATCATACATGCACATAACTAACGAAGTACAACATCGATATAAAAAAACCTCGTTCAAACTGTTCTATGTGGCGACTGATGGACCAAAACTGTATTGTTCTTCTTCCGCCAGGCCTCAATATCTTTATACGATTCTACACTTTCATAGAAATAAGTCAGAAAGACTTCCTCCTTTGATAAATCTTCGATGGGTGGTACTTTAACCAAATTAAAGTAATTGTTCCTTTTCATCTCGGGTTTAGCAACCTCCATGTTATTAAGGATGAAATGAATGAGTCGCATGAATTCAGGATCCACTTTATGAAAACTGATGGTAAACTTGCTTATCTGCCCCTTAAAAAAAAATAAATAAATGATAAGAAACATAATGTAAATAGCGTGGAAGCACGATGTCTCGGTGATTGTGGTGCTGGTTCAATAATTAGGAAGTTTAGGGTTCGATCTTGATGAGTAAGTTCCTTGGGATTATATTGAGTCTGCTTTCCCTAGAAAGTTGGAATTCGACGAACACTAAGCGTTTATAGGACATGAAAAATGAAATAAGAGTGTAACATCCTACTGTTCTGCTCCGACTTTAGCTAATGAAGAGGGGCATACCCCATACAGTGTGTTATGGGAGAATTTTGCCAGGACATCGGGATCTTTTACGTGTATGAACTTTCTCGTTCAACACCGGGAGCGAATCCGGGACCTCTAGGCTAGCGAGCCAACGTCCTACTCACTTAGCCATCGTGGCTAGCTAATGCAGGACAGTGAGACCTTCAACCTCGTTGCTTTTCATGTAAAGAGGATTGGTCTTATCCAATTAAGAATACTCGAAAATAAAACAAAAACATACGCAAGGAAGGGAATGGCTTGCACGAAAACGATAAATAGACAAGAAAATATAGAATAATGATCAAAATGTACGAATCTATTACTAGGGTACACAAATCATATTTACTGGGATTTAACATCCCAGTTATCAACCCTAATCTAGTTAATTTGAGACTAACATATTTCATTTGATGACGCATTATGTAATTAAGAGCCCTATCTGCATATTGCAGGTCTTGGCTTTGGCTTCAAATGCTATATCGATTAATAATTATGCTTGATTTCATATGGCAAGCCCTTAATCAAAGCCCTAGTTCATCGACTGGTCGTTATTTTCAATGGATTTAAAACAATCGCCATTTAAAAATTTAATGTAAAAATGGAGAAATGATAATTTCTTTATTATCGTAGCAATGGCACTTAACAATCGAGACTATTGAAAAATCTTCAACCACTTATCACTTCACCCAGAATAAAGTAATTTTACTGAAATTTTAATGTATTCATTTTACAGCCATTACAACTTTTTTTTTTATCTACATCTTACATATATAATGCATCTTTAATCACTATGTTATTCATAACAAAATAAATAAATTTTTAATTTGGTAATTTGGAGAAACGACTAAACCGTGTCAATATGCGACAGATGTGATGCAAACAAAACAAAGTATTGAGTCGCTATTTAACCCGCAACAGCAAGTCGTGATTTATTATGCCTAATTACACTAAACTCGCGAATTTATTCTCGGGTTACTTTTAAATAAAAGCGCAGAAATAGGGTTTAACGTCCATTGGACACAAACTATGTGATTTAGGGACTAACAGATGGTTCAATTTTGTTTTTTTACCAGCGGGAGGACACCGCCGTAGAACCCATAGGAAACCCACACCTCGACACATACAAGCATGGAATCAAAACAACGCCACTTCATTCAACGACAGACAATTCGGCCCCCCTTCAAATACATGTTATAATACTTACCACTCTTTTGTTATTTCTAAGATATTGATGAACCCACAGGCGAATATGGCCCTTTACATAATCCCAAAGTGGACTAACATTGAAAGTCTCTTTATCATATTTGTCAACACTGCTTATTAGTGGAACACTCATTTTAGCTAAACATCGACCTGTCTCCAAATCCTCGGCACCGCCTGTTAATCGGCATAATCCAGGCTTTTGATAACCTTTTATCAGCATTCGCAGTGCCTGTCTATTCAACACATAGCCGCAGCCACCCGCCATATAACCATTGGGTGCATACATTTTAATATGGCCGCCCAAATATGCCGGACCCTCTTCTCGATAATGCGACAAAATATATTTTAAATTTTCAATAACCATGTATGTATCATCGTCTGCCTTCACAAACCAATCAAAGTCATTTAATAAGTTGTCATGGATATATTTAAATGCATACACGACTTTATCCGTCAGGTACGTCCTTCCTTCTGGAAAATCAACAGACAAAACATCATGGCTGTCATTTTCATCAGTCATAACAAACAAATGTTTATCACAGTGACGAACCCAAGTGTCGTTGACAGCGTTCAATCTTGATTGTTCATTCAATGTTGCTAGAACAACACATAGTACTTTAATTTCATTAGTGCTTCGAATAGCTAAATTTTCGGTCCGTTTCTCTGAAATATCAATGTACAAAATCAAAGTCTATTACATATTTATTATAACCTTTTTAAATGACGAATACTACAATAGTCAATGGGTCCGAGAGCTAGCCCTATGGATCCACTGCGTTGTACATACCCGGCCTTCACTTAAAAAGACAGTAACTAACAATAACGGAAACACTCCAAGAAAAGAGGGAATAGTAGCTGAAATATGCTAGAAGTGGTCCATACCAATCATTAAGTATTCTTAAAATACAGATGTGACGTCATCCTTTGATGTTGGCGTACCATTATTATTTCCAATAATGTACAGGCAACTTGCCAATCGTACATTATCTATACTAGATGAAATATTGGACTCGCATGACGTATTTCATTGAAAAGCCCGTGCGAGATAGTGTCTGTATTTTAAGTTGTTTAATGGTCTCGAGATAAAGACATTGGGTAATATGTTGAAACAACACTCGGCTTACGCCTCGTGCAGTATCAATATATTACTTAATGTCCCGCTCCCAACCATTAAACCATATATATTATTATTATTACAGCATATTTATAGTGCGCCCTTTCAAATAACATGATCAGGGGCACTTTACAAAGTGACGATAAAAAAAAACAACCTCGCAAAAGACAAGAAGATTATGAATATGTTAACGTACACATAGTCAGCTAAAGGCCTTTTTAAATAAATGTGTTTTAAGTTGTTTTTTTTAAAAAGAATTTAGAGATGTAAAAGATCTCAACCTAAATAGTAGATTATTCCATAAAACAGGCGCTTGAAAACAGGTAAACAGGAGCTAAATTATTTAAACATTTAAAAGTAAGTAATAAATTCTTAAAATCAATTCGATATTTAACAGATAACCAGTGTAAATTATATAAAACAGGAGTTGTGTAGTCACATTTCTTAGTTAAAGCAACAAGTCTAGCTGCAGTATTCTGTACTTTTTGTAATTTATCTATAAGCTTTAAAGGTAACCAACTAAAATGAATTAAAGTTATCTAATCGACTTATAACTTACCCAACTGCCAGGAAGATCCATATATAGACCCTAAGATGAACAGGACAACAGTAAAACCAAACAACAACAAAATCAGTCTTTTTAATCTGGCTGGCCTAATTGTCATCATATTTATGGCAACTGGGCAAATACAGTTGACACAAATCGAACAAATAATAGACTATGTAATACAATAGGTTAAGAAATCAAACAGCTGCCACTCAGATCTTTGATGAAAATATTATCATTGATTGGTAGCAGATGGATGGCTACTGGATATTACATCACGAATATTGCCATTATAAAGAGGCTGTTTAAGGTTATGTGGACAGACCCCGTGCATAAATGAGGATGGGGTCGGGGAGTCTGGAGGGGGCCGCCTTAAATTCTTTCCCAAACTAACCCGATTTCTCAAAACATATTTCAAACAACAAATAGATCATATGAAACAAATATGCTATGTTCTCTTTAAAAACTGGTAAGGGGGGGGGGCGAATGGATAGCACGTGCGCGCAGTATCAAACGGTATGTCATTGAGTCAACTGGCGGGGTTCGATTCCCCGGTTGTACGTAACAAGGAGTAGGGTCGCCTTTCCGACCTCGTGGGTTTTCTCCGGGTCCTCCGGTTTCCTCCCACTGCTAAAGATTCCTACGCGCAAGCGAATTATTGAAATAAAATTAAACCATGTGTTAGTCCCGAAATGACCTAGTTTGTGTCGAGTGGACGTTAAACCCCATTTCTCTTCCTCTCTCTCTTTAGAAACTGAAATAAACTTGAGGATATGAGAAGGTTTAAAGGATTTTGCAATTGTCCATGATATGCCGCTTGAAATATGGAAATTGATTGGCATAAAGAGTCACAGTGGCTCACCTGGTAATGCTCTAGCTCACTAACAGTTTCCTGTCCAAAAAAGTTCCTTGGAAATTTGCAGTCTGTTTTCGCCTATTTAGTGTTACTGGGCGTTGGGTTTGACACTGGTGCAAGAGGTAGGACCTATAGTCTGGAGGCTCAGTGCGGGAAGGTTTCCATCAAATGGGTACAAAACCAGACTCAACTTTTCTAGAGTAAAATTTTGCGTAGAATACGATGCGGAGTGGTAATCAGTCCGCCGTTTGGGCGTTTTCGAGATATTAGGGGTTAAAGGTCAAATGAGGTCATTTCCACTGAAAGTGAATGCGCAGCCATTCTTACATCATGAAAACATGCTGAAATGATCGAAAGTAATCACCCTTTCCATAAAAATGTAAACTTGCTAAATTCATCTTTGTTCTTTGTGACCAGGGAAGTCAAAAGGTCAAATTTTCCGTTTTTGCACTGCAGCTGTCGCTGGTATGTATGAAAAGCAGAATATCGCAAATATTTTAATGATTTTAGCTTAAGTTTTTGTGAAACAGGATCTCGTTCAATAGAATAACCAAGATTTTATTTAGATATTTTATAGTGTATATTATCGATTATTTCCGTGATGTTTTCAGACTTAAAATGGCATTATAATTGTTGTTATGCGTATTATTTATATTTTAATTTGAACAGCGATTTCATCAACATCTGTACATTGATTTTGCGCTCAAGAGAAAGTTATCGAATGTAACGTGGCACATAGTCTCGGTGTTCGAGAGAGACTAGATTGTTTGAAAAAAAAACCCCAATATCCACAGATGTTTTCCTCTATAGTCACAGACATTTTTTTATTAATAATATTATTGTGAACAATTTAGTTCTAATCACTCCATGTCTGTCTAGTCACTGTGAAGCGCTACCCTAGAAAGTGTTTAAAAATTATCGACAAAATACAGGATAATATGCAGCATGGCATGGATAATAAACAAAATCAACAAAACTCATTAGCAAATTCTTTCCATTACGAACTTCCAAATATTTCTGTTCATTAAAGTCCGTCGTTGGAAAGAACTTTATTTACTGCCCGCTTCCACCTAAGGGATATCACGGACTATATTATCAATATACATCTTCATCGCTAGGTTTTGAACAGTCTAAAGGTATTAGTTGACAAAGCGAATTCTTGTCTATCGGTGACTTTCACCAGAAAACATACCTTTACACTGCCAACAACGACACCGGAGCACATTGAAATTATGCCCCCTTTCAGCATTAGTTCGGAATGTAAATGTCACCATATTGAGAGGTACCGCTATTTTACATATAAATACCATCATTAGCAACACTGCAGTCAGTAATATTAAAACATCCACAAAAAACAGGCAACATCAGTCGCTATGTCCTTTTTGGTGAATCATGCGTCAAAACTGTGTTATTCTTTTGTCTCCAAGCCTCTATATCGACATACGATTCCTTTGTTTCAAAAAAATATGATAAAAAAGGTCGCTCTTTTCTAATGTCCTTGATCGGTGGCACTTGATTCATGCTGAAATAGTTCTTGATATCTCTCTCTGGTTGAAAGACTTTCATATTGTGGATAACGAAATGAAGGCGCCTCATGAAATCCGGCGATAATTTATGGTAGCTGATGGTATATTGGCTAATCTGTCCCTTAAAACAACAACAAAGTCATTGATAAATATACAGTAAGTAAATTGTTTCAATAGCATTTAGTAATTGAACTGGAATATACAGGTAACAATTCTATGGAATACAATTACTGATTATTACTGAACAACGTTTCGGCTAGGCTTGTATAGTTATTATCAAGTAGATAACTATGTAAAAATGTCGATAGTTGTTTTAGCAGTCCCGGAATTGACAATTGGTCAGTGATGGGGGGAGGGGTATGCCGATCCAAATTATATAGAGCATATTATTTACCTTGTCTTATGAGCACATCATCGTGTCTGTAGTACTCTCCAAAATATTTGTAAGAGGCGGTGTTCCAATTCCCTCCTCTAATGGATCTAGTAATTATTCATATTGTCAGATCTATGCTCTTTGAGCCAATTATCCCACGATACTTAGAACATTTCCTAAATTAACGAGGGAATTGTGAAACATGTTCGGGTGGGGGGGGGGACCCCACGCCGTCTCTAATTGACAATCCTAGCCGTGCCACTGTCATTTTGAACATTTACTTTTGTGAATTCGGGAATCGACATAAAAGCAGGACGCAATTAAAATTACCCCCCCCCCCCCATACAAGAACAAAACATAATATAAATAAAATCCTCGTATTAATCTATTGTATTGTCTTATACTGTCAAGTAACACAGACAATAGTAAGATTTTGTATTGTAACTCACCACCTGTTTACGATTCCTAACATACTGTTGAATCCAGCCAGGTAAATTTCCTTTTCTATACTCGTCAAGATCTCCGGCTTGAAACGTTTCTTTATCATATTTGTCAACACTGCTAAATATCGGAACACCCATTTTAGCTAAACATCGGCCTGTCTCTAAATCCTCGGCACCGCCTGTTAATCGGCATAATCCGGGCTTTTGATAACCCTTTATTAGTTTCTTCAGGGCTTCTCTGTTGAGCGCATAGCCACATCCACCCGCCATGTAACCATTGGGTGCATACATTTTAAGATGGCTGCCAATGTATGCTGGCCCTTGTCCCTTATAATGAGATACCAGAAATTTTAAATTCTCCACGATCATGTAAGTGTCATCGTCTGCTTTAACGAACCAGTCATAATCATTTAAATAATGGTCATGAAGATATTGAAAAGCATGCACAACTTTGTCCGTTAGGTACGTCCTTCCTTCTGGAATGCTCACATTCAAAACATCATGGCTGCCGTTTTTACTGGTCATAACAAAAAAGTATTTATCACAGTCCTGTACCCAGGTTTCATTAACGCCTTTCATTTTTGCTTTCGCATTCGGCGTTGCTAAAATAAAACAAGCAACCTTTATATCGTTGATGTCTCTTCGTTCTGGATTGTGAAGGAATATATGTTTTTCTGAAATGTAAAAGACATACGTAAACTGGTATCGTCGATCAACTTAAGTATTACATATGTATTTTACGGATACTAGTCATAACGAGTTCATAATAGCTGAGTTAATAGTAGATTATACATAAATAAAAACCCCATCTGGGTGCAGACACAAAAGCTCCTTTTAAAGAGTTAATATTAGATTGTAATATAAAAAACACCATTTCATTTCAGATTATACACACATTTAATCAAATAATATCCTGCATATAACGCAATTTAATGAGTTAATGTTAGATTTATAGTAGTCAAGCGAAATTTAATGAGTTAATATTAGATTTATCATACACAAGGCAAATTTAATGAGTTAATATTAGATTGAACATTTAAACATGCATTATGTAAGATTTAAATAAAGAGCTGACAGTTCTCGCTGTAATAGTTAAAAATAGATAAAGAAAAGGGGATATTTTGAAAATCACAGTAAAATTACTTCATTCTGAGCAGAATTATTGGCGATTGCAGACCAGTCACGATTGCCATTGCTACCGTCTTGACGATAATAAGTATAAGCAAGGTTTAAATAATTAAACGCAAATCGTATTTAAATCTGTTGAGAATCTAGAGCATCCAATGACATCGAGTGTTGGTTATGCTCATGACAAGTTAATGTCTAATTAATAGTTTATATAACATTTAAGTCCTAATGAAATACCATATTCCTGAAGCAATGGCCCGAGAAATCACTCTCTGGCCATTGCTGGATTAGCTTCTGAGGGAGTGTGTCTATTGTTCAATCAAATCTATCCCCAAGCACAGCAACATGACAGCCCTTCTTTTCATCAGGGGCCTTCCCTAAAACTTTGGACAGTGATTTAAGGTATTAAAAATGGTGAAAGTATTGTTCGTCTCAAAAGAATATTGTTTACACTATACCCGTGTTGACAGTTGATAGCCTTGTTTGTCACACAATTAGTTTTGGGCATAATAAAATCGTGAGTCATGACGTAACGTTATGTAAACATATTTGATCCAATTTGGAGCTCTGTTTGGTATTGTCACGCAGTTAGCTATTGGTTTTAATCGGACTATTGACCAGTCATAATTTAGAACAAGAATTTGCTTTCTTTACAGCATCGCGTAGTGGGATTAGCTCTAATCAAACGAAACACTGCGGGGAGTATGATGAAATACCTGCAATAGACAGGTTTACCCCTTGGATAATTCCCTTTAAGATACAGATTTGACGTCATCCTTTGATGTTGGCGTACCATTATTTCCAATAATGTACGGGCAACTTGCCAATCGTACATTATCTATACTAGATAAAATATTGGACTCGCGTGACGTATTTCATTGAAAAGCACGTGCGGGATAGTGGCTGTATTTTAAGTTGTTTAATGGTCTCGAGCTAAAGACATTTCGTAATATTTTGAAACAACACTCTGCTAACGCCCCGTGCAGTATCAATATATTACTTAATGTCTCGCTCTCGACCATTAAACCATACTTTGAGTTAATATTAGAGTGTTGTATTAAAATACCATTCAATAAGTAAATAGTAACTTGTATAAGAGACTCATTTAATGAGTTAATGTTCATTATTTTAATTTTTTTTCCTGGAATATGTTAACAAGATTATATTATTGTATATAAGTAAAGGCTATACTGCCTTGTGGGAAGACACGTTGGCTCAGTGAATAAGACGGTTGCTCGCTTGCCTGCAGGTCTTAATTCAGATCAGGTGAAAAAATGAATAAACCACATTATTCAACTAAGCTGTAAGGATATGTGTATTAAATTTTCCTCACGATTTATATTCATTGTCAATTGATACAGATCGTTTAATTTCCCAACAGCAGTTAAATTTGAATCAGTTTGATAGATATTTGTCAATTTAATGTCGTAGTAAAATGAAATAACGTAGCCGACTGGTTAAATTAATTTGGGTCGGGGTAAACGCCCTATACCTGTCTTCATAGATGATTAAGGCCAATTTTAAGATTTCTGAACTTAGACGTCCTTGGCTTGAATAAATAGCCAACCCAACACTGTTCTTCAACAATGTTTTCAACAAAAACAATTACACACGCTTAGGTGTAATAATTAATATGGAAGTGTAATTTATAAAACATCCTTGAGGTGTAATGCTTAATCTACACCGAAGGGTGTAACATTAAGTGCAACACTCATCCGAATGTAGTGTATCGGGAAGGTTACACTACCGGAAGTGGCAACTAGTTTCCACCTGAATTGGCAATAGGATAGGTGTAAACTACCTTATTTTTTTTAACAGTGTAGAACGACGTTTCGACAAGTATTCTCTTTTAGTTTGCAAGCTCGTCACAAATAAACACCATGTTTTTGTTTGTTATTGAAATGCTATTTCCGTACATTGAATTAAACTTTAAACAAAAAAAAAATCATAGTCTTTATTATCAAATTCCCGAACGAATACTTTCGGGAAGAAAACGAATAGGACAATTAATTCTCCTTCTTATAGCGAACTTTATATGATCCCAATTGTCATTTCGTACATGTAAACATCAATCCTAAAATAATAAAATAACGCATCAAATTGTTTCGCGAGTAATCCAATAATTTCTTAAATCAATCGAAAATCACTTAGTACTTGTACTTTCAAAAAACCCCAAAAAAACTCTATATAAAAATACGCAAATTTAGACAAGATTATGATATTCAAATTTCTATACTTTACCTGAATTCTTGGGATAGTTCCGGACTATGGTTAAAATGCATGCAACACTTAACACAAATAGAAGAATCTTCATTTTATATTTCTGAGATATCATTGTTTTCTCGGACTGCGATATACATGTATTAAAGTCGATTGTTACTGGGGGTTTAGATTGGACAACATTGGCACAGCTGTTGCGTAGAAATGTATCCTGTCAAGTCAATTTAATCAATGTATTATTGCTTTTTATGAGAAGTGAAACTTTACTTTCTATACTACATCATCAATATGATTGACTAAAATCTTCCATGCGCTTGATATTAAAGAAACAGTATACGAGAGCTGGTCATTCTTGTTATAATCGGTCAAAAATAGATAACGAAAATTAATGTTTTGAAATGGTCAGTCGAGTTACTTTATTCTGCGCGCAGATATGAATGGTTACTTTTATCGGGTTTTAGACCGTGGGTGCAGTTAAATTCGCAAGACTTTTAATCCAGAGAGAGAGAGAGAGAGAGTGAGAGAGAGAGGTGGGTTACGTCCACTCGACACAAACCAGGTCATTTCGGGACTAACTCACGGTTCAATTTTATTTCAATAATACGCTTGCGCATAGGGATCTTTAGCAATTGTGAGGAAACCCACGAGGTTAGACAGGCGACCCTACTCCTTGTCACGTTGCATGGAACCTAAAATAGTGGTCTAAAACCTGTCCATATTTGATTAAGACGATATTCAATCCCCTTGATGTTTGTGACAAAGTGCCTGAAGTTATTGACCCCCAGCTGTTTTTGAATACCAGGGGCGGATCTAGGAATTTTGAAAAGGGGGGGTGCGCCGCAAAATGAGGGCAATGACCGCGGAGATGGGGCACGCCGCTGAGAGGGGGGGTTGGGGGGGGGGGAGGGGGGTCCCCTAGAAAATTATCCGTCATTTTCTTGCATCTGTAGCCATTCCAAGAGCTATTTGGTTGATATTTTCGTCTAAGTAAACGTTAGGAAATCGTTGAAAAAGAGCCTTAAAATCGAGCAAAAAAGCCAGTTGAACATGCGACTCGAAAATTGTCATGGCGAGCGAGGCATTATGATGGGAAAAAAAGACGAATCTATTCTCTATCCTCCTCACTATTTAAGCCTTGTAACTTGTACTGTGTTCTTGTCTACGATATCACCTTAGGTGGAAGTGGACGTAAACTTCAAAAACTAACTAACTACTAACTACTGTGCACTGTCCACACATATGAAACAATGCTACATCAAGTTGCACTCATGCGCGTCGGTGATGGGCATGAGTGTATACGCCGCCGATTCCACAAGATGCTATCATTGATGTCTGTCTATAGTCACTCTTTAGCATTAGGGCACCGTCAACTAAACAACAAGAATTCGTTTGAAAGTGGAAGCATTAATTAGACCAGACTGGTGTGTTTGAGTCGATGGTTTGAGTCATTTGGGATCCCTGCAACGGGTTGGGAACGACATGTATTTGGGTCTGAGAAAAGGCACTTTCAGCAGTAAAAAAGGGCACTGTCGAAAATTAGGGGGCCTCGCCCCCCCCCCCCCCTGGATCCGCCTCTGAATACTATATGATATTGTTAATAAATCCCACATGTATTGACCTGTAGATAAGACCTGTATACATTTATACTAGTCAGTGAAATTATTACGATGACTTGTAAACTCCATATGTCCTTGTGTGTGTAGACCCGTTTCCTTATAAGACATTCGTTTAACCTAGACATTTCGGGACTAACATATGGTTCAATTTTATTTCAACAATTCGCTTGCGCGTACGAGTCTTTAGCAGTGGGGAGAAACCAGAGGACCGGGAGAAACCTCGCGATGTTGGACAAGCGACCCAACTCCTTGTCACCTACAAGCGGAGAATCGAAACCACACCACACGACTCAACGCCCACGCGTTACCCCCCCCCCCCCAGCCCTTTAATCCAAAACAAAAACCCAAAACTTTGAATATCTAAGAATAGAAAGCTGTTAATAACTCCATTGCGTGATTTAGTTTGATGGTTATGCTTTTATTGACAGTCTCTACGAGTGACGTCATACATTCCGCATAAGCGTATAACGCGATATCAAAGTCAAAATCAAGGTCATCTGTTGGGCTAGAAAGTTGATTATGGGCTTGTCGTGTGCATAATACCTTAACAATAATTGACATAACATTAATTATCCAACAGGCAAAAAGTCTTGGTTCGCTAACCAGTTTCGGCTTAGGATCTGAATTTTCTAGCCTGGTTTCCCCTCATCTTTATATGGGGTGTAGGTCATGGGGTCGTATAAGTGAACCCCCTATATATTGATCTCCTGCTTTCGCTTCGAGATCCTGAAAAGTGAATGAGAGTTACAAAAATACAGTGATATTGAAATATCGGCTTTCACTGATAATAATTAGAATTTAATCATATTATATTATTTTCCTTGTTCGAGTTTTCCCTAAGCAATTGATAGTGGTAAAATCTAAAACGAATGAAAGGAGATGGGGAAATCTTCCGCGTTGGCTATTGATTAAATTAATTCAAAGGCTGTGTATAGGTTCATTTTCAAGCTTACAGACAAACACCCAGGGAGAATGTAACAAGTAAGCGTCACTATTTAATACTAATATTTTATTTTGCTATATTAATCAGCAAGCAAAAAAACAAGTCTTTTACATGAATACCCATGATTAAGATGCCGAATTTGGAGGTTTTATTTAGAGCGTTCGTGTCTAAATAAAACAGGACTTTATACATAACGATTTTTAAAAACCAAAATATGGATTGATAAGCGTTTTAACGGAATCAGTTAAGCATATCTTATTTTGTTAATTGAAATGATATATAATAATCATCATTTATGTCTGATGAGAAGATAACGGATTCATTAAAATTTGAATATAATGACTTAATAATATCAAGATATTAACCAAACTAAGTATACTAACCGTACATTTCAATTTGTATCAATTTGTATCAATTATCAAACCTAAAGATGAATAATGTGAGAGCTAAATCTGCCTATTGCAGTTTTTTTATTTTGGCTTCAAATATATATTATAAAAATTATTCGCATGAAAATCACCCACTAGACTACCTAATGTCCGAGATTCAAATGCATTAAAACACACGCAAGATTTAAACAAATTAACGATAAAATGGATAATCGCGATTGTCAAGCACCGTTGGTACGATAATGACTAATCTACTCTACATCTTGTCAAATTTAAATGAAATTTTCAATATTTATATTCATTTTTCATTATCTATTTGAAAATAATAACTGATAGTTCTTTGTGTAAATCTTACATAATGCATCTTTACTAATATAGTTTCGCATTAGAGCGCAATATTTATTTATTATATTTTATATTGTAATGTATTTTATGGTTGTTATTGTTGTATACTACAATACGATTGAAAAGGAAACAGCTTTAAGAAGTTTATATTGACTTGGTTTATTTGGTGATGAAATTCAATATATTTAATTGACCGAAGTGTATTTGCATGTGTTGTCGATCGATACTTGCAGCAAATGATTTCGGAGGACCCCAACAGGCACTATATATTGCAATACATAACTGTATTAAAGGAGCTAAACCCAAACACAATATTATCAATACTATTCCATATTAAAAACACCAATTATAATTCAAATATCAATTATAATTCAATCGATATTAATGTTGTTATTGTACCATGGAAATATGGGAGCCTAATATTTAATATTTGAAACACAATCTACATTATAATATATGTGCACAATATTGCGTATTCTATGAACATTATTATGTGCTTTTAGGACCTTTGTCGTCTATTTTCATGTTCCAAGGAATACTAGTTTTACACCCTTTAAAGTATTTGATCATCATTTTAAGGGTATTGTCATTGTTTGTGTGTTACAAATTGATGACTTAGGCCTGTACGTACTTTTAGCCTAAAAATATTTAGGTACGGTATAGTAATTTTATTACTTTGTAGCTATGTACAGATACACACTAACAATTACTGGTTTATTAACATGCAACATTTCGACGATGATACTCTCGTCTTTATCAAGCAAATCATATGCTTGACAAAGACGAGAGTATTATCGTGGAAACGTTGCATGTTAATAAACCAGTAATTGTTATTCCATAAATAGTGTTAGTGTGTTAATGTTAAATTACTCAATGTCACTTAAAGAAGTTATTTACAGATACTTTGAGTTACACTGTTACAGAGACGCTGTCCTCAAATAAATGAGGTTTACATAGGCTTTGCCTCTTCTCCAATCCTATTCAGATATCCAGAATAAAGATATCGTCTAAAACAAAATAATAAGAGAAAACGTCGACTGAACATGAAGGGTCTTTAGTTTCCAGGAATAATTCAATGTAGGCAGAGCCTTTTCTTCAAGACTCTTAAAGAGATGTTTGTGTTCCTATTAATTATAACAGGCAGTATTTTTGGTAAGTTTTTATTTATCCATATGAATGACTGGGATGCATAAATATAAATCTAGCGTGTATTACTGCCGGGAAGTGAGAATGTCTTTAACAGGAACGCAGAAGATAATTTGTAAGACCCGTATGTTAGAGAAATACATCTCTAAATTGAAGAAATGAGTGTGACGTCAGTAAACTGTGTGATATATTTAATACAATCCAGAATAGGCGAAGTCGTTACATTCTAATAGTGCATGGATTAAATCTACCGTGATAACATTTATTATCCTCCTATTGTGTGGCTATCGTAAAAGTATTTCAACAAACACCTCATTAATATTCAACATCCTCACTATTCAATAAAATACTTTCCTTAAAGCTTGAGTGGGCGGATTAGGTACAGGTGAAGAGTGATTGATAAACATCTCGAAACAACAGGCTACGAACTACTCGTCCAACTGTCAAGGGTTCTTTTACGTGCACGCCAATGTGTACACGTGTACACGGGACCTCATAGACAGCTGCTGTCCTGACCAGACCCTCGGCCAACTGCAGCAATTCCGAGACTTCAAAGCTAGTGAACCAGTGTCATACTCACTGAGCAATTGCGGCTCCGGTCTTAAGTTCATTTAGATATTAAGTGGGGTTACTTTTTATTCAAACTGTGCCAAAATTTAAAACAATAATTAAGATCGAGAACGGAGACCATGACGTATCGTCATTTCAATAAATATTTATATGGTTTTAAATAATATGAATGCAGATGTTTAATCAAATACAATAAATAATTTTAAAAGTTTTCCAAAATAAATTAAATTATGTTTTAGTATGAATTAGGCCTTATTGAATTTAACAATTACAAATTTGAAGTTTCGTATCAAATCTAACACAATCGCTTGGATTACCGAATCTGGGTCTAAAAACGAAGTGAATAGTACTTCGTTGTTTCATTGGTTGAAATAAAAATAGCTATGTATTTTTTTATTAGTAGAGAAAATCGTGACATAGAACATTTCTATGTTTCAGATTACTCATAATTATGTTTTCTTACTTTTTATTTAACGACGATCCTGTACCTCTGGTGGGGCTATCTGTGTGGAAATTCAAAAGAGTAGCAAACCAGGAATTGTCTCATCTAATGTACAGTTGTCTTTTTTTTTACTAAAGTGGAGCCGCGATGGCTCAGTGAGTAAAACAATGGAGTTTTCCAGAGCAGTTTTCTATTGTATGAGGGTCTGGCAAGGGAAAACATGTCGTTCGGTGTACACATTGTCGTGCCAGTTGGAATACGAATCAAGAGTAGACCTTAGAGCCGCTGTCTGGGCCATATTTCTCCCATATCACACTGTATGGTGTACGTCTCCAGTAGCCTAGTCGGCCTAGAAACGTAAGACGTTAAACCTCATTTCATTTCATTTTCTTGTTATTAAAGGCTGTTTTAGTGGCAAGATATCCGAGGATGGTATACCCGAGTTTAAATTAAACCAATCATTGAATTCGTTTAGTACACTTAATATTAGCAACGACAAGAGTATTCAGGTTTTGGATTTTAACAAGTCTACAAGCAGATGCGAGGTAAGGACAAATGATTACTAAATCCTATGCATTCTTACCAGGATTTCCTTCGTCCACTTTCATAAGTCGGTTATTTTCAAATTTTATTACATTAAACCAGTCACTGAATTCATCTAACACTTCCCTACAATACATAACACTGTTGTAAAACAGGTGAAAGTTATCTATTAAACATACATTATGTAAGAGCTAAATCTGCCTATTGCAGACCTTTCTTTGGGCCTTAATTGTTTGTTGTGTAAATTATTAATTAGACATTTATTATAACATATCAAGACCATAATCAACCCTCGATGGCATCGGATGGCTCCGATTTTAAGTAGGTTAAAACGGTCCGGCCATTTAATGATTTAATTTAAAAGGAGAAGCGAGGCTAAGACTCGTGTGACCAGTACGGTGGTTACGATCAGTGCACACATCTTGTCTAATCTACAACCATTGATTTAATTTAAAAATGAAGAAGCTGGGCTAAGACTCGAATGACCAGTACGGTGGTTACGATCAATGCACACATCTTTTCAAATCTACATCCATTGACAACTCGATAAGTAATATAAATGGATTTTTCAATATATTCATTTTGAATTATCTATTTTTGAAATAGTATAGCGAGAACGGCCAGCTCTTTATTTAAATCTTGCATACTGTCCCTTTAATGTTTCGTTGTTTTTATGGAACCATGGAACCACGATTATATTTAAATAACCTTGTTCTTATTAATAGTTAGATCAGCTTCAGTTTTCGACACCCGACTTCTTGTGTAATGCTTCTACTGACACCATTACGTTGCGTATCGGAAATGTTATTGTTAGCAATGAAGATGTCGCCAACTACACATGTACTAATTATACTCATGAAATAGATGGGTGCTGGCAATATTTGGTGGTGCTACGTAAGTACGAACTGCAGATGAAACTTCTCACCTAACCATTTTTTTGGTCCCAAAAACTGGTCCCCAGACGCTACTCATCTTGTTGATCTTCTTTAGGGCTTAGCCAGTTCAAGCTAGATCGACATGCTTGCTCCAAGATGGTGGTATTGAAGTCATGCGCGATTCCCCGACCATATAACAATCTTGTCTGTATTTATTTAACAAAATGTAACAATGGCAAACTGTGGAAATGCACACATGACCCTTTTAATAACATTTCTGATTTGGGTGATTTGTCATAGCTAATTTTTTGTTGCATTTTGAAATTAGTATTGTCATTTTGAATATTGTATTTGTTATTACCCCTCTAATTGCACACGTAACCATTGAAATAAAAATTACCATAGCTTAAATTATCAAAATGACAGGAGTACATTGTGCTATTAGGTCACACCAAATGAAATGGGCTTTAGCGTCATACTGTTCTGTCCCGACTTGGCTAATGAAGACGGGCATACACTATACAGTGTGCTGTAAGGGAAATCTTGCCGGGACAGCGGCACCACGGCCTAGTTTTAGTTGGATGCTACTACTTTTAGTTGGAACTCAAAACGCCCCTATAAAGCTTATATTATTATTTGGTTAACCATAAAATGTTCCTTTTGCTGTACAAATTTATAAACTATAACATTAATTTATAGAAAAAGCGAAGATATTAGGTATGAAACCAGATTTCAATCCTCTGGAGGTTTTTGAAGGATCAGATGTCAGTTTATTGTGTGAGGCTGATGAATCGGTATATCCAATCATTACCAACTTCATTTGGAAGAAAGACGGCCAAGAAATACCATCAGAAGTTAACGAAACGTATAAACTCACTAATATTTCAACAGACAGTTCCGGTACCTATGAATGTACTACCAGAAACAGCATTGGAAGCAGTTTTCCGGTCCAGAAGAAACTTTCGGTTTTAGGTAAGCTGCAAAATGAAAAAAAAGTTACTAATTGTTATTTATATTTTTAGGTCAATGTTTAATATTTCACAAATTTATTATTCAACATATTTTAGATAAGATTATATATATGGCGTTGGTTTGGTTTGTTTTGACCACATTCCGTTTAGAATTCAGTCGAACATTATAGAGTATATCTGTTATTCGTTCAAAATTAATTTTATCTGATTTCGTGAGTGTTGTAGTGTCTCTTTGTACTCAAATTCGATGCTTATTCCAAATTACGTAATTGTAGCGGATGGTGTGAGCATTTTGACTCACTGAAACTGTGGGCGTATTATGTCGACACCATGCCCATCGGACCGTCGGCGGTCCATCCGTCAACAATTGGCTTGTGAACGCGAAAGAAGCTACAGTTTTTGACAGATTCTTTTAAAATTTATTTTAAAGCATTGTGGTCATGAGAGAGCGAACTCTGTTGATATTCTGCTTTCTACGAGTTCCGGATTTACCCCCCTTTGCTGAAAACCTTATGAATGCGATAGAGGCTAGCTATTTTTAACCATGTTGTATGCATTGAGGTCATGAGAGAATGGATCCACAACTTTCCGATCCAGAGTAATTCTCCTTTGCCGAAAGCCTTGTGAGCGCGATATAAAGTACAGTATTTTTATCGTTTTGTTTTTCAAATTTGGTTTGAAGCTGCTCATGAGAATATGTCACTACCTATCAATATTCAATGTAGCCTGACTTTCCGTACCTGCGTTTCTCCTATTTGTCGAAAACCTTGTGAACACGATAGAAGCAGTAGTTTTTAACGGATGTTTTTCATTTTCGTTGGGAAGCATTGGGGCCATGAGAGGATGGACCCTATTGGTTTCCAGCGTTCTGTGTGAAGTTACCCCCTGTTCCCGAAAACATTGTGAACGCGATAGAGGCTATAGTTTTTAAAAAGAAAATTAAAATTTAGTGGGAAGCACTGGGTCGTGAAAGGAGTTATCCCCGCTTTTCCGAAAACACTGTCTACGCGATAGAGGCTATAGTTTTTAAAGGATTTCTATAAAATTGCGGTCATGAGACCTTGCGATATTCAGCGTTCTACGACTTTCCTTTCCATAGTCAACCCCCTTGTGAACTGTTTGTGTGAAGCATTGGGATCATGACAGGATGGCCCTATTGATATTTAGTGTTCCGGAGTCATGCTTCCTTTCCTGAAAAACATGTCAACGAGATAAAAGCTATAGTTTTAATGGATCTTTTTCACGTGTGGTTTGAAGCATTTGGATCATTGGATAATCGATTTATAATACACAACCCGCCTTTCCTGAGTTATTTCCCTCTGCCGGAAACCTTGTGAATGCGATATAGGCTATAGGTTTCAACATATTCTTTTTTTTTCCAAATTTGGTTGGAAGCATTGGCTCATAAGGGGTGAAACCATTTGCTCAACATCCAACTTTTCCTTTCGGATAAGCTGCAGTTGAGACAAACCTTTTCCACGATGCATGTGTGTGCCGATCTTCGTAGTGCCAGAATGAAGCCAGGTTTAAACTAGTTTCAAAATTGTCATTGGAAACCATCTAATTACTCTTTATCGCGCTGATTCGATTACCTATGGACTAATACATGTAGTTTGTTAGATGTCTGGCTATATTTGGTTCAGGAACAAGATATTTCAGTGGAAACATTAGTCGTTCGACACTGAAGTCACATTAAAGCCGGGCCCGATCCAGCATTTTCAATCGAAAATGGCATAATGGTGGTTAATTTTAAACATTTATTTTGTAATCGATTTCATACAGTAGTAGGAATTATACTGTTAAAACGGCTTTTAGTAATTGAACACATTAAAATAAACACAATAGTTCCATGGATAACAATTACTGCTTCACAAAGTTTTAGAGTGGCTATTGTATATTATACATTCATCCAGGGTCAACTTAGTTAGTGGGTTCACCAATGCATGGATTAACTATTAGATATTGTAGTCATTGCATATGGTTTCAATATTATATTCAAAGGGTCACTGATTTCATAATTACGTAGTTTCGCTAATGTTTTGATTGTACATAGATATATATACATTTCTTTTTTTCTGTCTGTATCAGATTGTCTTCGATATTACTTGCTGGAAGCGGACGTTAAATAAAGCTAGTTTACACACATACAAATAATAATAATAATAATTTTATTTTAATCAGTGTCACCATCTTTACAAAAATACATTGCACAAATACATAGAAACAAAATTATTAAGATGCCAGCCGATAACGACTTATGAGACACTATACATATGCAAAACAATTAAAACATTCAACAGTATAGGTTAGAAAATGATAAATAGCAATAAAAGTGAGACACATACAATACAAATAACTACGTAAACGTTTAGGTTAAAAGAGCATTTTTCCTCTGTTCAAACATTCTATATATACAAGATGCAAAATGAGGTAAAATATCAGTAGTATTCATTAAGAAGTACATTTTATTTACATTATCATACAGGTTAAAAGTTGGTTCAATTTGGCAGGCTCTGGTACATATTGATTGTCTTATATCGTTATAAAAATCACAATTAAAAACAAAACGTTCTTCATCCTCAACTTGTCTATCATTACAAAATATACATATTCTTTAATACACGGGCTCGGGTGGTTTTGAAAAACGTCCAGTTTCAATTCTGAGGGGAAGTGATCCAGCTCTTAATTTTGACAAAACTCGTCTGTGTGACCTATTCTTAACTACTTGAACAAACGGTTCCGTACCAAACAATGTTTTATATTTACGATATGATCTCAGTTTATTGCCATTTAGACAAGTCTTATCATCCCATAAGCTCTGTGACCAATGATCTATATCCTTTTCCGATAACTTTGTTTTAACATTATTGAGGCACACAATATCATTTTCATTGACTAAAACATCTAGCTCCTCACCTAACTTCAAAACCCGATAATCCCATGATGTTTTACGCCTAATGCTCCACTTATGCACATCTTTACATAAGTCACTTCCCTTTAGTTTAATTCTATTCCAGTAGCGAAATAGTTCTATTTTCAGAATGGTATCCCCCTGTAACTAGCCCATATCCCCCCGAGAAGCTATGTTGCTGCTCCGTTTAGTTAAACCCAAATAAAATTTACAGGCATTATTGTTAAGCACATTAATACATCTATGGGTATTGATTCCCCATATTCCAGATGCATATGTAAGGATAGGTAATACAAGGGCTTCATATAACTTATTATATACATTCAAATTAAAGCCACCAAATTGAGTGAACTTTGTTTTTATCACAGCTAATGCCCTATTTGCTGATTTTGAGAGTTCTTTAGCACTAAATGAGTAGTCACAGAATGCATACACACACTCCGTATCAGTGCTGTTCTTGAAAACGACAAGAAAATCATCGTAGGGACAAAGCTCCAATAAAAATTCAGTAATTGTTACCCATAGAACTATTGTGTTTATTGTTATAAAAATTATATAGATTATTTAACGGTAAATGTCTTATTTAGTAAAACGCCATAGTTGCTAGATATTAATTTAAAATCCGCAGTGATATTCTGTAATTTTCTTTTTCCTGTATTGAATTGATTCTGAAGTTTGGCCGACGATGGTACCACAGTTTTATGAAATAAATTCGACTGGTAATACTAATCTGGTATGTAACGTTACTGGAACAGTATACTGGAGAAAGATGGGATCAAAGGAGAATGTTTGTTATGGTTCCCCTACGTGTCCTGTATCTATCCAAGAATCGACCTATTATGAATGTTTTAGTACTACAACCCATATCTCTAGCTTTGGTTGTCGGGTTTCTAAAACAACGAGTGCAACATTTCATGTGATTTATCAGTGTGAGTAAATATGTCCTATAGATTCTAGTAATTCTTGGATCTAAACCTTATTTAGTAATAAACCCCTTTTCCTAAGTTATACATATTATTATATATAGTAATTGTCGCTTTATACATGTATGTAAGAGTTAAATATACCTATTTCAGGTCTTTATTTTGGTCTCAAATGTAATATAAATTAGTACTTAGACATTCATTCACATGACAAGCTCATACTCAAGTCTTTATATCATCGGATATTCATGACTTTTAATGGATTTAAACAAGATCGATATTTAATAATTTGATTTAGAAATGGATAATCGCGACTTTGATAATTATCGTAATAAAGGTAACAATAAAAACGAGACTACGGTATTCATATCAAAACTGCTTTCATAACTCCGCTCAGAATAAAAGTCATTTTACTGAAATTTTCAATACAATATTCTCTTTTCATTATCTATTTTTGAACTATTTTAGCGCGCGAACTGTCAGCTCTTTATCTCATCTTACATAACAGTTTAGAGAATGAGGTTCTCCAGTGCTCCATTGTTGTTATTTAAAATATCTTCGCCAGCCTTTAACCTATTATATCTTCTATCTAATTTGTAGATAAACCCGAGCTTCAAAACATCCATGAAAATCCAATCCAGCTGACCAGTCGTCTTGGACACCCATTTGAAACGAAACTAGCATTCAAGGCTTATCCGAACGCAAAGTTAAGCATATTAAGTACGTCAGTAACATTAAATGTTTCAGAAGTTCAACCTAATGTATTTAAGATAAGCTCCGATAAATTAACAACGGCGGACTTTGCTAATTATACAATCCAAGCCACCAACACTGAAGGAAATACAACCTTTTCACTGTGGTTAAAGGGTAAGTTTGAATGTCAGGTACAATTATGGTAAACTTGAATCAAACTTACGATAGACTAAACTGTTTAAACAAAGGTGTACCCGATAATGCTAAATATGCCACAAACATTACTCGAATGCTTGTCTCGGTTTAAAGCGAGAATTTCATATTTTCTAAGAAAGTCAAAACATAATTATTTCTATGTTTTTTTGCTCAATAGGTTATCAACTCACTATTATACGACCATGGGCATTATTTCCCACCCTTAAAAATCATTGACACAGGAAATAATAACACAATTACCTCCCTTGTTTTCCTATTGCCTCCATGCATTAGCTACCTTCAAACGTTGGAATTTGAAGTTGAAAATGATATTTTTGCCAATTTCTCAGCTCGCAATAGTGACTTATAGGATTAATAGGATTATTCTTTAACAAGGTAGGACGGTTTATTGATACCATCTATTTTAAGGCTTTATTTTAATAAATTTTAAAAATATAACTTAAAAATATGAAATTGCAGCTTTAAGAGATATGTCTTCGTTATCCTTTGCTAAAGATCAAACATCAGGATTTGTTTCTGACTTCGATGCTATTAACTCGTGAACGAAAATATTCACCTTAGTTGAGCATTATAGCTTCTTCTAGGTAAAGTTTATAGTTGCTGTGGTTATTATGACTAATTTATTATAGCCACAACTACGTATATGAGGATTTTATTCTTTACTCTGTAAATAATTACTAGAATTTCCTGGTGTTGCGGTTTCACTTTGAATAAGTTTTGCTTGAGAACCTATTCGCTTCCATGTTTTCGCGTACTTACTTTATAAGTGTACAGAATTAATATATCTTGTTGCTTCATATCTTTTCATTGACTTTATGCAATTCAATGTGGTGACCACTGTCGAAACCAGGTACCAAATCAAACCCTTACAACGTTATCGACACTGATAACTGATATGACGACACGTAAAGGCACTTAAGATCTAGGGTGGAATTCTAAACGTCGCTGTGCGTGTAAAATTCCCCACTTTCCCAATGCACGAACTAACCAAAATGATATTAAAGAAATATGGACTTACAACTTTTACGAAGTATTGTATTGCATTATTTCAGGGCATCCGGAACCACCAGTAAATTTAACATACCAAATAATAGAACCTCATCTCGTTGCATTGTCATGGGAACCAGGTTTTAGTGGAGGGACATCGCAAACCTTCCAAGTACATATATCCACTGATGGAAGCGACTGGCAAAAATACAACTGTAGCGGGGCTAATATTAAAGCACTTTATTGCAATGTGACAGACTTGGAGGTCGATGTTGTTCATTTGTTTGTGGTAACGTCTTTGAATGGTTATGGTTTGGTTTCACAAAAGAGCAATACTTTGATTGTTTTAATAAAGAGCAAAGGTAAAATTGAGCCAGTAATTATTGTTTAATTGTTTACAGTTTGTTGCTTGTATTTTCGGATTAGTCTAATGAACTTTGGTGGTTGGATGGCTTAATGGTTAGCGCGTGCGCGCTGTATCATAAAGTCTGTCATTGAGTCAACTGGCGTGGTTTCGATTCCCCGGTTGTATGTGACAAGGAGTGGGTTTTCGCCACGTCCTGCTGTTTCCTCCCACTGCTAAATACCCCTACGCGCAAGCGAATTATTGAAATAAAATTGAACCATATGTTAGTCCCGAAACGACCTAGTTTGTGTCAAGTGGATGTTAAACCCATGTCTCTCTCTAAAACACCTCAAGCCCCTAAGGCTTTCACATTGTTTACAAACTTTGTCGTACTTTTGTATATTCCGACTTCATTTCACATATTGATGTCTGATCCGTTGTTTTCAGAGAAAGGGACTTCCGTTGGAATCATCGTCGGATCTGTGTGTAGCTGCACATTACTAATTATTGTCATCACCTTATGTGTAATATATAGACCCTGTAGAAATATCTGCAACTCTAAGCCCGATAACAACGAACCAGATGGTAAGCTATAGTATTTAATAATTTCAAATGCATGTCTAATACACACGAGTCTATCGTCCATGAAGATAGTCGCGATCGTTGCAACCGGAGAGATTCGAATGTTACACAGGCGTTAAGCAAGGTGAGCCCCTATCCCCCGTACTTTTCCTATTATTCATTAACGATTTAAGAATTCATCTCCTTGATAACGATCCGAACTTTTTCCACATCGATGATTTTATATTGTATTCTCTTCTATTTGCGGATGACACGGCATTATTTTCACTAAGTTCCCAGTCCTTACAATTGCTGTTAGATAAATTTGGGGGATTCTGTTCAAAATGGAAACTGGAGATAAACACCGACAAATCCAAAATAGTAATTTTTCATCATAGAGGTAAACTTACCTGTAATTACAACTTGACGTTAAATGGCGACCCACTTGATGTTGTTAAAGAATATGTTTACTTAGGGATCTTATTGTATGATAACGGTAAATCCACAAAAACAGTAACAAGAATAGCAACACAAGGTAGGAAATCTCTGGGTGCCTTATTAAATATAACGAGTAAATTTGTGCTCAATACATCAGTCAAATGTAAACTTTTCCAGTCATTGGTTTCCTCTACTTTAACTTACGCTTGCGAGGTTTGGGGGTTTCATATTGGTAAACCCATAGAGCAGGTTTTAAATAATTTCTTAAGATATGTGCTAAGGCTGGGCAGAAACACCCCAATTATGGCCATGCTTGGAGAGGTTGGGTTATTTTCCCTGATAGTTGTTAGGAAAATAAGAATACTAAAATATTGGTTGAAAATTATTCGTTCACCAAATTCACTAATTTTTCAAATTTACAGTATAATGTGTGCTGACAATGAGAATGGAAAAAATAATTGGGTGGGGGGGGGATTAGACACTTATTGAATAATCTTGGATTTCCTGAATTTTGGCATAACCCTTCTTCCATAAACCAAACGAGTCTATCTCTAATTAAAACCCGTATCCAAGACCAATTTAAACAAGAGTGGTTATCTTCCTTGGAAAATTCGAGTAAGTTGCGTTTTTTTAAATTGTTCAAAACTGTACATGAACCTGAAATTTACCTAAATTCATTTATTGAAAATAAATATCAAAATATAATATGTCAGTTTCGTTGTGGTATGCTTAAATTGAATGTTATACAAGAACGGACCGTGAAAATAGAATTTGTACATGCTGCACATCGAACGCCGTCGAAGACGAATACCACTTTCTCCTCTGTTGCCCAGCATATATAAATTTACGTCGCAAGTTCTTTCATCGAAATTTTGGTCCTTTCCTTCTTTACATAAATTCAAAAATATTTTAACGAACACCAAACATAAACATATAATCTATTTAGGAAAATATCTATATCAAAGTATGAAATTACGTAGTCAATTATTAAACACCCAAAAATGAAACTAAACACCTATTGGGAACTTTTTTGTATATACTGTTGTACTATCTTCATGACATGTTTAGATATTGAAACTACTTTATTTATATATGTATATATATATATATCATTATTATTTTATTTTTATATTATGTTCCTTATATTCCTTATCTATTGTGCAATAATCACCAAATATATTCTATGAACCTATGTTGGCTATAGCAAGTGATTTGCTTTGCCTTGAAATAAAGAAAGAAAGAATAAAGAAAGACTGCAATTTCAATAGTCATATAATTTGTTTCATTTCTCATTTTGCAGGAAACACTTATGAACAGCCAGAATCAAAACGGTCTTATGGGTAAATATAATCTTTTTGTACCCCCCCCCCCTCGCCCCCAAGCACACATACACACACAATAAATAAGATAAAAACTTCAAAGCAAAATAAAACAATGACGGAAAAATGTAAATATCCTGCTCACGAAACATGCTGAGAAAAAACAGAATATGTACTACAAAGTGGGTGTGCGAGGGGCAAATTGTGAATTTTCATACACATATAATCTTCAATTAAGATTAATCACTTGATTCAATGACAGACCTTATTATTTAAAGCGTACGCGACCGGTCACCCACCCACCCCCATTATTTGTATATGTTCAGAGATTTATAATATATGACTAATGTCGGTGTTATATTTTAGATCTATGGTCATTCTGATTTTGGAAAATATACGAAATACATGTAGAAAAGATGGCAGCTCAAGTGATAATGGTAAGCATGAAGTTCGAAATAATTATTAAAAAGAACTGAAGAAAAATGCTTAAAACTAACATTTAATCGGTTGTGCATAAAATGAAATGGGATGTTACTCCTACTTTTCTGCACCGACTGGGTTAATGGAGATGAGCATACTCCATGCCTCTTATGTCGAATTCCAACTTCAAGGGCTTTTTTACATGCACGTTAATGTATACAAGGGAACTCGGTGTTTGATACCATTCGGACGACTAGACTCTGTTCCTAAACTGGCCCCCGTTCTGCACCACTGACAAAGTGAAGCAACTCCCGAAACAGTCGTGTATAAAGACATAACTGTATGAAATAACAACAAAATCAAACAGATTGTTAATCTCCGCCAAAACTATTTTGGGGCTCAGTGAGTAAGATGCTAGCTCACCGAGTAAGGCGCTAGCTCACTAACCCGGAGATTCGGGGTTAGTGTCTGTGATTTTTCAGCGTGGTTTCTACTTATCCGATGTGCAGGACGGAGGTCTTGGCAAAGACAGAATCTAGTCGTGCAGATGGGGGCGAAACACGGATTCCACGTGTACACGTTGGTGTGCAACTAAAGGGACCCTCGAAATAAACGCCCCCATAGCACACTGTGTGGTGCACGCCCTTCTTCATTATTCCAGTCGCTGCAGCAAAGTATGACTCTAAACTCCATCTCATTTACGACAAGCTCAACCCAAAAGGGGATTTCGGTTATCATATACCGAAACATCAAATATGCTGAAAGACTAAATACTATCCTCGACTAGGAATTGTAGAATTCAGGTGAGAAAATATATATATTTATCATTTATTTTTGTAGAAGCTTATGATACTGCCAAGGGCTGTACAGAACAGGAGCATTATGACACGTTAGACGTTCGTAATGAAAATCCTTATATTAATAGGCAAACTAAAACAAGCGGTAGGTATTTTATAATCTCACTGTCTGAATTGGAAATGAAATATATCCACGTCCTACTCTTCTGTACCATTCGAGCTAACAAATACGCCTTACATGAGGTAAATGGTGCCCAGATAGTGGCGGTTTCGGTTTCGCCTACTCTCTCTTTCATGTCAACTGCAAAGGACATAGGAACAACAGGGGAGTTAGGTGGCCGAATGCTTAACTCGTGCGTGTTGCATGATAAGGTCTGTCATTGAGTCAAGTGGCGTGGTTCCGATTCTCCTCTTGTACATGACAAAGAGTAGGGTCGCCTATCTAACCTCGTGGGTTTTCTCCGGGTCTTCGGGTTTCTTCCCACTGCTAAAAACCCCTACGCGCATGGTAATGAATCAAATAAAATTGAACCAAATCGCCTTTTTAGCTTGTGGACCCTCTAGAAGTCACAATTTGTATTCAATTTTAAAAACCGTTTATATATATTACCGGTACACCCTAATGATGGTTGAGTTCGAATTTCGTGAAAATCCGACCGACACTGCCTGACAAAATGGCCGCTCCTTGTACTCAAATATTGTAAAAGTATGTAATACTTAGGTTGTGGACCCTCTAGAAGTCACAATTTGTATCCGGGTTTGATGAAATTTTAAATGTATGTTAATAACCTAAACATCTCGGTTCATTTCTATGTTCGCGCATTATAGCCCCCTGAATGTACGAAATATCATTAAAAGTATGTAATACCAAGGTTGTGGACCCTCTAGAAGTCACAAGTTTGATAAAAGTTGAAATGCATGTTTAAAGCTCAAAATCTCGGTTCCTTTCTATATGCACGAAAATCGTACCGTATCTTCCAGGACTATGGCCCCTGATCGTATGAAAAATCACGTTTTTAGCTTGTGTTCTTGCTAGAGATCACATTTTTTATCCGATTTAAAACCCGTTTAAATATATCACTGTTACACCCTAATGATGTCGAATTCGAATTTCGTGAAAATTAGACCGAAACTGTCTGACAAAATGGCTGCTCCTTGTACCGTACAGAATAAGATTCATTTCTGTAACAGATAAAAGAAAATAATCTGAAATAGTCTATATTATTAATATAATCACTGTTATATAAAACAAAATAATAGCTGAAACATTTTTTTAAAATATATTTTTTTACCAAATGGCAGCCTTAACCTCGCAAATGGTTATTGTTGCGCCAAATGAAACACTCACACCAATCTACAGTCAAATCTGAATATATAAGGGGGTCATGGGCATCCTACTTGACACGTGAATAAACTATCTAAATAATATTTTATATAATATATGAAGCCAGAGAAAAGAAACCCGCTATAGGTAGATTTACCTGTTGCATAATGCATCTTTAATGTTATAGTTTTTTTTTATCGCACCCTTTTAACTGTATGTCATTTACAAATTTCTTTATAATCAGATAACGTTAAAAGGTCTGATGATGACCCTATTTACGAAAACATGAACAAATCAAGCCCGAAAAAGAAGACAAGGCAGAGGACCCCGTCAAAAACAACAGAGTTAAGTGTTACAGAAAGTCAAGATATTTACGAAAACATGAACAAATCAAGCCCGAAAAGGAAAACAAAGCAGAGGACCCCGTCAAAAACAAAAGAGGTCGAGTTAAGTGTTACAGAAAATAAAGATATTTACGAAAACATGAACAAATGAAGCCCGATAGGAAAACCAAAGCAGGGGATCAGTGTTGCAAAAAGTAAAAAAAAAATGATTATAGCAAATAATCTTCATTTTAATGATGTGCGTACAAACCTGGGTCCGTATGCAAAAGATATCTTAAGTCTAATATAGTCACTTAAATATACGTAACTTTCTGTAAGTTAAGGGTAAGTGGTATTCAAATGCTATGATAAGTATCAAATTTGATTTTGTAGTGCCATAATAGTGTATAAGGTTACTACCACCGAGATGGTTATGGTTTTCTCCTCGATCATTTATCATGTTCGTATTGCTTAATCATGTTTTCCACGACTGTCATATAATAAAGTTTGATGCTGGCGAAATGAGTAATTCGTGATTTTTGGCAGTGGAATTTTTTCCATAAGTTAAAATTCACGTGTTTTGACTAGTGTGGTTATTCCCTATTTTAAAGGACAATAGTGGTGCCAGTCATTATCACATATGTGATAGAGCTGGTTAAACACATTCCAAATATAATTTTAACACAGAGATCATTGCTACGGTAGCTGAGTAATACAGGTTTCCTGATTCGGAAGTGACGAACGCCAAAGGAAAACACGAGTCATCTCTCTGTATAACTGACTGATATGACGAGTGATAACAGATAACGGCAGAATTTCTGCTCACTAATAATTCCTTCGAAGACCAAAAGTTGTTATATGGGACTGTAAGAGGATACCTGACAATTCAATAAAGTAATTGAATTTCATTAGATAAGAGAACACGAGAAAAATAGAAATAGTCCGTACATTCTCTTGTTTATATTCATTATATGCCTTATAAAAAAACATGGTAATGCACAGACTTTTTCTGTTTTTCTTTAGTGTTCACTTATCTAGTGGCAGTCAATTCTTTTTATGAATTGTCAGATATCCTCTCACAAAACAACTTTTGGTCTTCGAAGGAATTATTAGTGAGCAGAAATTCGCCCGTATATCCGTTATCACTCGTCAGATCAGTCAGTTATATAGAAAGATGACTCGTGTTTTCCTTTGGCGTTCGTTACTTCCGATTCAGGAAACCTGTATTACTCAGCTATCGTAGCAATTATCTCTGTGTTAAAATTATATTTGGAATGTGTTTAACCAGCTCTATCACATATGTGATAATGACTGGCACCAATATTGTCCTTTAAGTGTGCAGTTAAGTTTTTCACATAGCCAAGTATGTAAAATTGAGCCTTTAGGTAGGCCTATAGATACTTGGTTAAGTTTAAAAATGAAGTATTTTTACTTAACTGTAAGAAATCCTTTGAATACGGACCCTCAAAACAGAAATGTGAAATAAATGCTTTTATATGTAAATATGATATCAGTGCTTAATATTGTAAATATAACATCGATTCTTGTACTTATTAGTGTACACATCAATCAATGTCTGTTTCTTTATATTTTTACAAAGTCAAAACCGATAATACGCGAAAAGGAGAACATGGAATTAATTTCAATAATCATTTTCAGCCGCATAACTTATTTTTCAATTTGACGCTTTTAAATATTTTTTAAGATCTTGACGGAAGTCATAACCTTCACCAAGTTTTAAATATCTTATTGACAGAAGTAACTTCTCCATTATGTTACACACTCATATTAGGGACCTTTCGCATCGGTACGAATACGAAACGAAAACGTCATCGATTCGTGTGTACTTGTGACGTCAATAGGTAATGAGTGTTCGGCCAGTGAAAAACGTTACGCGTATGGAGCAGGATTTACGTAGGTATACAAATGAATATGTTCCTTGTCTCATATATTGAATTTTCCACAAGTTTTTCGAAACTTTGTGTATATTTTTGATTGTGTAGAGTTCGTAGAATGTGCCCAAAAGCAATATTTTGCTTGGAGTGGAAATTAACGCTTTCTAGTTATTATCGTACGTCGGATTACGAAACTGCGTGTAAGAGGATACGAAAACGAAAACATAAACGAACATATGTTCGTTTTGGTATTCGTTTTGGTACCGATGCGAAAGGTCCCTCAGAGGTTACCTGAACAATATATGGGGATAAATAGCAACATACTCCTTTTAGATGTACAGAATGGTATATACTTATGCTATATCCACAAGATGGACTTAGTTTCACTATTACATGTAGTATTAGCTGTATTTTTATGTAATATTATTGTAATTCTTCATTGTCGTGGTTATTTATAATTCTTTATAATGTTTTATTATATTTAAAAGACGTTTAACTTTATTAGCTGTATTTTTATGTAATATTATTTCAATACCCCATTGTCCTGGTTTTGTATCGGCTTATGTATTTATTCTTTATAATGTTTTATTATATTTAAAATACCTTTAATTTTAATAGCTGTATTTTATGTATAATCTTACCGTATTGTAAGAAATGAAACTGAAACTGGTACAATGTAGACGGGATATTGTCATAACCCATTGTCGTGGCATTGTATTATCAAACTGCATGGCTTATTTATAATTCTGTATACAATATAATAGCTTATATGATTTGATGTATATCATAATGAAGAAGTAAAAGTGGTTGATATTTTTAAATGGGCGTATTTTTTAAATTTGTATTTATGTTCCAAAAAGTACTCCCTGCTTTAAACTAAAATGGTGGCCGCTATACTTCCAGTAGAAGTTAAGGGATCAACGGATACGGAAGATATCTAAAGATCAACTCAACAGTCTTTAAACAATGCAAATTTGCAAACAAAATTGTATGCTATCACATTTACTTGAACGTTTCCAATAAATTAGCAATATTGGGTTCGTTATGATAGGTGTGGTGCACAAAGACGAATATACTTATTATTTTGGGAACACCTGGCACCACTTATCACTGGGCTCACATCCGTGAGAAAGGCAGACATCTTGTTATGGATTCCCGTTCCAGTGTAAATTTCAAAGCATTACAAGTCGTTTTAAAGATCATTTTCATGTTAGAGAAAGTAACATTTGGCGACCTTGCTGCTGATGATCGTGTTACGAAGCTACAGTATATAAGCGGAATTTCATGTCCCGGAGATCACAGAGTAGCATGGCCAATTCTCCACAAAATCACTACCCAGTACACCCGAGATACCTTACCTATGATGATGCATATAACTTGAAAAAAAACCCCAGATAACAAAAATTGGACACCAAAACTATGAAATAAACACTTTTACGGTTACTAATCTCAAACCGTAAACAGATGCGTATGTCATGGTTGATTAAACATTCGGTATTATTTGGATGTGGCCATGTTCGAATTCAAAACAAATGTCTTTGAGAAACCTATCATGTAGAAACTCTGTTAACAGTGTTATTAAATTGAAAATGCGTACTTTCGATTCAGAATATAAGCTGTGTTACTTCTGTGCTGCTAACTGAAATGCACATTATTTCCCGATGGAAATAAACGATTAATCGGACCGATATTCTTATTATCAGATGAACGGTGTGCAAGGATCAACAGAAATGTTACAGGTAGATCAAATTCAGAAAATAACGAAAAGTTCAACCACCTTTTATAAGATGATTCTGACAAGGTTGAGTTCCTTGGGTTATAAAGTTTATGATCGTCAGAATTTTCCAGAAAATTTTAAGGCCCAGACCTGCCATCACTTAACATTGAAGTCAGCGGTGCGTTGTAACTAGAGTTGTCTCCCTTACTATACTTCAGACACTCTTTTGAATAAAACTGCTTTACCGTTAGATAACGATCGGCGAACAAATCTAAAATTGATTTTGCAATAAGGTAACAAAATTTATGATATTATGTTTAATGAGTTTTGCATGTGATTTTGTTAGAGTTATTTTTGCTTGGAGTTTATGATAGTAAGGAAGGCAGTGATGATAGCTTCACCCTTGTTAGTTGTGATAACTGCTATAAAGATTAGTTAAGGATACCGGATTATTCAGATATGTTCCAAAAGATATGGGGATCACGTGGCTAAGTGGGTAAGACGCTGGCTCGCAAACCTGGAGTTCGGGTGTTCGATCCCTGCATTGGCCGAGAAAGTTCATCCAGATTTTCCGGCGTGGTCCCCCCTTGTCAGTGATGCAGGACGGAGGGCCTGACAAGGACAGATGTCTAGTCCTTCGGATGTTACGAAAAACCGAGGTCCCGTGTATACATTGGAATGCACGTAAAAGATCCCCTGGAAGTTGGAATTCGATATAAGAGTAGGCGATAGTGCCGCTGCCCGGGCAAAATTTCCCTCATAGCACACTGTATGGCGTATACCCGTCCTCATTAGCCCAGCATAGGAGCAGAACAGTAGGACGTTAAACCCCATTTCATTTCATTTCATTTCATTTCCAAAAGATATAGTCTAGTTAATTATGTAGTAAGTTGTATTGATTGTATGATTATACTGAAGTAAATGGTAAGTCACAGTCAAAGAAAAGTGATTGTTGTTATGCTTTGATTGCTATAAATTGCTTTACCATGGATGTACTATAAATGTATTACTGGATTCATTATTGATCATTGCTTGATAAAGATACCTGTAAGAGTACCGAAACATTGCATGTAATAAACCAAGAAGTAGTAAGTCCATAAAGTCGTGTTACTATGAATAATATACCTATACTTCTAAATGTCATTACATTGCCGGGGGGGGGGGGGGGTGTGTGGGGGTGGATGGCTGAATGGTGAGCACGCACGCACTATATCATACGGTTTGTCATTGAGTCAACTGGCGGGATTTTGATTCCCCGGTTGTACGTGGCAAGGAGTAGGGTCGCCTGTCCAACCTCGTGGGTTTTCTCCGGGTCCTCCGGTTTCCTCCCACTGCTAAAGGCCCCTACGCGCAAGCGAATTATTGGAATAATATTGAACCATGTGTTAGTCCCGAAATGACCTAGTTTGTGTCCAGTGGACGTTAAACCCCATTTCTTTCTCCCTCTCTCTCATTACACTGCGTTTAATTTACTTATTATACAAACTTCATATTGTCATGTTGTGTACACTAATAATAACTACAAACACTAACATTCATACTATTGAAGTAGATTTATGATCGACATGACAGTCAAACCGTCAACAGATTATGTAATTATGTAGTTGTATTTGTTTTTTATGAGAGAGAGATATGGTACAGTTCTATTTCAATGATTCGCTTGCGCGTAGGTGTCTTTAGCAGGGGGAAGAAACTGGAGGACCCGGAGAAAACTCACGAGGTTCGACAGGCAACATTGGAAGCGGGGAATCGAAACCACGATTAAACACCCCCTTCCTACGATATCACGAAAACAAAAATACCCCCCCCCCCTTTCTATAACTATAATAATGAGGTGGTAGAATCGGATTTTTCTAGTTTATCCAGTATAATCATTACAATAACTCCCCTATTTGTAACTGCTGCTATTTTTTATTTTCTTAGATCCAGATTTTTCTAGTATATCAGTGAAAGGGATAATAAATTCCATTGTATGAGCTTTGATATGATCAATATTCTGCATAGAAAATATATACGGTTGTAAATTGTATTTCCAATATGTTCTTGGATCAAGACACGTAAACGGTAGGCTGATTTTCAAGCTGTTTCTGATGTTTTATTCAATAACCTAGATAATAGATACTATTTAATATCACATATTCTGCGTCCCATCTGTTTTACATGTAGTGTAACGTCTAGTTAAACATAACAGTTATATCTCTGAATATTTATTTTCTTGGCTTTATTTTATTATAATGGCTTTATGTGGACATAAATCGAAGTATTTAGTAGCTGGTATGATAATAAGTATTTTTTTAGTTTGGAGATTTCATGATCCAGTTCCATCAGCACTGACTTCAAACGTCGATAACGTACATAAAGATATCGAATCTGCTTTGAACGAAAATGTTTATAAAATTGTTTCTAAAGAAACGGTACCAGATTCAAAGGATTCGGATAATTCAAAAGGTCATTCGGATACCCAATTCCTGGAACATTCTTCTCCTATCACACCTGTATACATTGTAGAGGAACACCACGAAGGTAACTTTATTCTTTCTTTTTTTCTTTTTTTTTAAAAAAAAAACAAACATTATTAACAATAACCATTCGTATACAATATAGTTCAGCAGGAATATATACTGAAAGTTTACAAATATATTAACACGGATCTATACATCACATACGGAATTTTTAATACTACTATGCCATTTCATACATTAATATTTTTAGTGTTAGTAATACGTAGTTTGGAGACAATCTTATAAGAAATGTAGTATTCTATAAATAAACCTATCCGGTATTTTAATTCTTCAGTAAGGATTTTAAGACATCAATTTTTTTTTACTTTTTCGATCAGATATGTGATAAATTTTGTATATTGTAATTGAAGCAGTAGTTAACAAGTAATTTAATTCAAAGTAATTTGTATCGTAGTATTTGTAACCTAACACAAGATCTTTTAATGTTATTTATTTATCGATATCTACTTTTGATATTAGATGACATACTTTTTTCCAATAATAGTTTAAGATATTTACAATTTACAAAATAATGATCATAGATTTCTTCTACTGAACAGAATTTGTAAAGATTGCTATCGCTAATCTTCTATTTGCATAAGAAATTTGGAATAATACATTGAAGAAGTTTCCATCTAAATATTTTTAGGTCATTGTCTGCTAAAAACTTGAATATAAAAGTATATACATAGGATAGGTACAGAATATTTTCCTTTTTGATGTATCGCAACTGATAATTTATTCCAATAGGTTTTATAAATTTGTAATCAACCAGTGAATTGTATAATTTCCTTAAAGTTAATAATAATAATAACTAGCAGGATACCCGGCTTCGCTCGGGGGTCATAACGCCGAAACCGGAAGTGGTAGACTAACACCACCTAGCCTATGTTACTCCCCGGTCCGAGCTACCCCTATAACCCAAATTTCAGACTCGGGGCAGACCTAGTGTAGCCGGCAACCCCGAATAGACCGGCTTCGCTCGGGGGTCATAACTCCGAAACCGGAAGTGGTAGACTAACGCCACCTGGCCTATGTTACTTCCCGGTCCGAGCTACCCCTATACCCCAAATTTCAGACTCGGGGCAGGATACCCGGCTTCGCTCGGGGGTCATAACTCCGAAACCGGAAGTGGTAGACTAACGCCACCTGGCCCATGTTACTCCCTGGTCCGAGCTACCCCTATACCCCAAATTTCAGACTCGGGGCAGACCTAGTGTAGCCGCCAACCCCGAACAGACAGACAGACAGACAGACAGACAAACGACAGTCACAAATATATATATAGATACATATAATGTATATGTATAAATTTCTATCTCTTTTCTATCTTATTGTTATACATATGTTCTCAATGTTCTCATTGTTTAAAGGGCAAAAAGTAAGAAAGGTCATTGGTCTAATTTTCAACCCTTTTGAAATAAATTAATTATCTTAATCTTATATATATATTGTCTGCGATATCACCTCGGTGGAAGCGGACGTAAAATACAACTAACCCATCATCATCTTATATATATATATTTGTGACTGTCGTTTGTCTGTCTGTCTGTCTGTTCGGGGTTGGCGGCTACACTAGGTCTGCCCCGAGTCTGAAATTTGGGGTATAGGGGTAGCTCGGACCGGGGAGTAACATAGGCCAGGAGGCGTTAGTCTACCACTTCCGGTTTCGGAGTTATGACCTCCGAGCGAAGCCGGTCTATTCGGGGTTGGCGGCTACACTACGTCTGCCCCGAGTCTGAAATTTGGGGTATATGGGTAGCTCGGACCGGGGAGTAACATAGGCCAGGTGGCGTTAGCCTACCACTTCCGATTTCGAAGTTATGACCCCCCAGCGAAGCCGGGTATCCTGCCCCGAGTCTGAAATTTGGGGTATAGGGGTAGCTCGGATCGGGGAGTAACATAGGCCAGGTGGCATTAGTCTACCATTTCCGGTTTCGGAGTTATGACCCCCGAGCGAAGCCGGTCTATTCGGGGTTGGCGGCTACACTAGGTCTGCCCTGAGTCTGAAATTTGGGGTATAGGGGAAGCCCGGACCGGGAAGTAACATAGGCCAGGTGGCGTTAGTCTACCACTTCCGGTTTCGGAGTTATGACCCCCCGAGCGAAGCCGGTCTGTTCGGGGTTGGCGGCTACACAAGGTCTGCTCCGACTCTAAAATTTGGGGTATAGGGGTAGCTCGGACCCGGGAGTAACATAGGCCAAGTGGCGTTAGTCTACCACTTTCGGTTTCGGAGTTATAACCCCCAAGCGAAGTCTGTCTGTTCGGGGTTGGCGGCTACACTGGGTCTGCCCCGAGTCTGAAATTTGGGGTATAGGGGTAGCTCGGACCGGGGAGTAATATAGGCCAGGTGGCGTTAGTCTTCCGGTTTCGGAGTTATGACCCCCGAGCGAAGCCGGTCTGTTCGGGGTTGGCGGCTACACTAGGTCTGCCCCGAGTCTGAAATTTGGGGTATGGGGATAGCTCGGACCGGCGAGTAACATAGGCCAGGTGGCGTTAGTCTACCACTTCCGGTTTCGGAGTTATGACCCCCGAGCGAAGCCGGTCTGTTCGGGGTTGGCGGCTACATTAGGTCTGCCCGAGTCTGAAATTTGGGGTATAGGGGTAGCTCGGACCGGGGAGTAACATAGACCAGGTGGCGTTAGTCTACCACTTCCGGTTTCGGGGTTATGACCCCCGAGCGAAGCCGGGTATCCTGCTAGTAAAAAATAAAAACAAAAAAAAAAAAACAAAAAAACCCCAAAAACAAGTTGAACATGTATTTACAGATGTATATTTGTGACACATAAAAGGTGCAACATGGCTTTAAAGAAGATTGACTGTGACAAGTTCATAATTAATACATACAACAATGTATATAGATTGAATGAATATAAGGTTAATCAAATCAGGTGAAAGACAGTAATTAATTTTTATTTAGATATTTTATTAGTTGCCGGATTTAAAGTGTTTGAGAAAACATGGTAATGTGTTCTATAGGCGTGATTCATAGAATTTAATACTATAAAAATTCCATATTCCATATGTTCCACTTCTTTTCCCTTCCAAGTTAGACGAGTTTTGTATATATAATTTACTCTTATAAGCGCTTTCAATGGAGATAAATTTTTGGCCATTTTCGGGGGTATACATGTTTTAATCGTTTTGAATTTTGATATCCAGTTGGAATTGTTCTGTAGCTTGTTCATTTGAAAAATTAAAAGGTTTTTTCAAAGTTTATTATAAAATTTTGATCTAATAATCTTTTGGCCCATATTGCTTTTAACGAATTAAGTAACTTTCAATGACAATCATATTTATTCCACCATTTTCATATTTACCAATTAAAGTAGCTCTTTTAATTTTCTCATTTTTACTATTCCACAAAATCTCAAAGCAAGATGTTTCTATTTCCTTTAAATAATTGTTTGGTACGACACAGGCGCTTGCCAAAAACGTGAATATTAGCATTATAATAGTTTTGATAATTAAAATTCTCGCTATCATAGTTAATCATTTGTTTCATTTTTTCTATTTTGTTTTCTAAATTTAGCCTCTGGTATTCAAGTTGGCCATGTCCAAAATATAAACCCAACACCTTGGTTGGGTTATCGGTTCGGTATATTCCACTTTTTTTTTCTTTACAGTTTTTTTTAGTTTACCTATTCATTTGCCTTCTGTTGTACTTCGATTTCGTTTTAATCCTGGATATGATCCAAATATTTATATTTCATTCAATGCAAAGGATATCTCTTCCTTAGACCCCAGAAAAAGGATTGTGTCATCAGCCATTTGTGTAATTTGTATACTGTGTGTTAAGTTATCTAGTTTTATCTGTATCCCTTTTGGGGGGGGGGGGGCTGGGTGGATGGCTGAATGGTTAGCGTGCGCGCTGTATCATAAAGCCTGTCATTGAGTCGACTGGCGTGGTTTCAAATCACCGGTTGTACGTGACAAGGAGTAGGGTCGCCTGTCCAACCTCGTGGGTTTTCTCCGGGTCCTCCGGTTTCCTCCCACTGCTAAAGACCCCTACGCGCAAGCGAATTATTGAAATAAAGTTAAACCATGTTAGTTCCGAAATGACCTAGTTTGTGTCGAGTGGACGTTAAACCCCACCTCTCTCTCTCTCTCCCTCTCTCGTATCCCTTTTATATTTGTATTTGCCCTTAATTGTATTGCCATTATTTCAGCCGAGATGACAAATAGGAGAGTTGACAAGGGGATCCTTGCCTGACACCTCTTGAAATTTTAAACCTTCCAGAGATCCAGCCATTATTTAAAACGCTTGTTTCTATATTATGATACAATGTTTCTACCCATGTAATAAATGATTGATTAAAACCAAAATATTTGGGAGTTTCTAGCATAAATGACCATTCAAGGACATCAAATGCTTTCAAGAAATCAATAAAAATTACACTCCCTTCAATGTTATAATGATCCGCATAATCAATTATATCAATAAATCTATCTTTGATATGACGTCTTTGGTCATCATGTATTATTTGTGGTAATACCACTTTAAGACATTGGGGCAGTACACGTGATAGTATCTTTAAATCTACGCTCAATAAAGATATTGGTCTATTATATTCAATTAAAAGCAGGTCACTAGTCCTCTGTGATTAATTAAGTATTTTTCATTATAACATCTATTCAATATAAAAACTATCATCTCTTTAATTTTGTTCCAAAATGTTCCATAAAATTCTACAGTCCGTCTAAACCAGGTGATTTATTTAGCTTCATATGGTGTATGGCGTCAGTACACTCATCTATTGCCATTTCGCCATCGCACCCTAAATAATCGTCGTGTTTTGCTTTTCGTTTTTAACTTCCTTGATGATGTTTTATCAGGTTCTTGAGAAGCATACAATTCCCTGTAATAGTTTCTTATTTCATTCAATATCTTACTTTGATCTTTTATAATTTTACCCTTATTATTTGATAACCTATTAATTGATTTCCTAAAGTCCCCCCCAAAAAATAAGAGTTATTTTTCCCCTAGTTCCATCCATTTTTCTCTGGCTCAATTTTTTGCTCCTATTATTCTTTGTTTATATAATGTTTGTATCTCTAATTCGATTTTAAGTATATCAGAGTTAAGATGTTGATTGTCTGTTAAATTTATATGTGTCTTTATATTTTGTTTCTAATTCACTTTCGAGATTTTTAAATTCATTTCCAGATTTCTTATTTTTAGTTTTACAATAGCTTATTATTTTCTCTCTTATTCACCGATCTCCCACAATGCAACAGTGACACGCCCTTTTTTTGGAATGGGTGATTCATGTATTCTCTAATTTGGATTTATATTATTCTAATATTAGGAGTTTATATTCATCATCTTCCAAAATTGAGCTATTTATTTTCCAATAACTACCCTTTTCATTAGGGCTTATTTGAAATTATATAAGTAAACACATTGATGATCTGTGTATTCTACATGCACGTACGTGAGGATACAAATCCCTTGATACAAATAATAAATCAATCCTACTATATTGTGTCTGGTCATTTCTACGCCATGTAAATTGTTGTTTTTCTTCATTTAGAGTTCTGCAAATATCAATTAATCTATTATCTTTTAAACTTATAGAAGGTTTAGAAACTACTCCCGAATGTTTATGTTTCCTATCCTGTGTAGCTAAAGTATCATTAAAGTTACCACCTACAAGGAAAATTCTCTTTGAATTTTGTTTTCTTTTGATTTGTTGCATAAACACATATTAATGTAAATATAACATCTTCAAATGTAATACTTAATAATAAACCTCCCAGCATATCCGTATATTTATCTGTAAGTTCAAAATTGACTGAATTATTGATATTATTGCAACTCCTCAACTGGCACTGGAACCATGGCTATAGAAACCCACGAAACCAGTATTCCTTTTTAGATTACAACTTAAAACATTGTCTAGGTGCGTTTCTTGCAGAAAAGCAATTTAACATTTGTGGTGTCTTAACCATATCTATAACTCTTTCACATTTGTCTAGCTTTTTAATACCATTAACATTAATGGTCGGGTGTTCGATCCCTGCATTGGCCGAGAAAGTTCATCCAGATTTTCCGGCGTGGTTCCCCTTGTCAGTGATGCAGGACGGAGGGCCTGACAAGGGCAGCTGTCTAGTCCTTCGGATGAGACGAAAAACCGAGGTCCCGTGTATATATAGGAATGCACGTAAAAGATCCCCTGGCAGTTGAAATTCGATATAAGAGTAGGCGATAGTGCCGCTGCCCGGGCAAAATTTCCCTCATAGCACACTGTATGGCGTATGTTCGTCTTCATTAGCCCACTATAGGAGCAGAACAGTAGGACGTTAAACCCCATTTCATTTCTTTTCATTTCAACATTAATGGTACACAAGGTTAATTTATTCATCATGTATCTGCATATATAAACGGTATAATTTATTATTTTGGTTTTTAAGATGACAATGATTTATGTTTTCTTCTCGATAATATATTGATGAATCACAATTCATTGATTGATGAAATAAGTTTGATAATCGAAAGCCATACAGCTGCATTACATCTCTATCTTTAACAACCATATGATGATGTAGATTCAAATATAGAAATGCTTGCAGATCATGTTTAGGGCTGATTTTGTACACTTTCTGTTTACATGTGCTATATTTTGACATAAAATATCCATTGTTAGTTGATAAAGGTGCGCTCTTCTCTCTTACTCTTACTGTATCATCACTAATTCTAACAGTACTAGTTTTTTGGGGTTTTCTGTGTGAAGAATAATATGCTTGGTTATAAGTGTGATACCTGATGTGAGCAATTGTAATCTATCAGTCTCATTGTCCATATAAATTCTCCACATCTGCCTAATTCTTTGTATTCCTTTGATACATTCTGCTTTCATCCCACAACTATGGCTTTGTAAACCTCTACATTTGATAACCACATATTCCCTGTAACAGTCACAGATCCAAATACACCTTGATCTTTCAAGAATATGGGTTTAACATATAGTGATTTGTCTACTAATGGTGTGTTATTGAAGTTGTTTTCGACTACTTCGGCGAAGGAGTGGTGACCGCCATATTTGTTGCTGTTTTGGTTTGTTTACCTTTGTCTTCAGAGTTATTGGGTTTACCTTTATGTACCGTTCTATAAATCTGAAAATTATCGTCTCTTGTATTACTTGTATTACTTGTATCTATACCATTCATTTCTCTACCCTGGTATTTACTTGAGTTTCAAAGAGATTTAACTTATATCAGAGTGTCCAAAATCTGGTCGTGGCTCAATAAGGGGCATAACTCTTTCTGAACTTTATTCTTTACATTTCTGTATTCTTTGTATATCTAGCTTAACAAAGAGTTCCATAAAGGCAACAATGGTAGCCCCACTAAGTTTTCAAAAATTACAATAAAAAGTATATGCTCTATCATCTTCACAAGCTTCATAAGGAAACAACATCGTCATGTTATAAGGGATAATCCAAGGATAACCAGAGTCCTCACAAGCCTATGTGGCGCCCCAGGGCAAAAGTTTCAGTGAATCCTCTCTATGCTTTGTTCAGTGCCTGTGCTAAGTAGATTTTTTATGATTAAAGTAATTTTAAAATTGTTTATACTTTTAACACTTTTATCTAAATAACTATTTATTAAATCAACTTATATGTAAAAAAAATTATGTTTATTTCTCCTTTAACTCTCCATTTGATCGAAAAGCCCTATAATTCTAACCTCTCTATTTGCTGAAATGTGAACTGGTTTACACACGTTTAGCCGAAGCGAAGGCCGGTGATTTGCTATCTCAGCCGCCCCCAAGATGTGTGGTCCCCCGGTAGATGCCCCCACCATTTAAGGGTACTGAGGTTAGATCCCATTGGAATTTTTTGCCTTGGCGAGGTACTGCCGATGGAAATTAGTGAGCCTCGGGGGGCGTTGGGAACGGGTTCTCCGGTTTCCCCAGGGTAAGCTTCATGAGCGTCGCGAGCCATGTGGAACCATCCCGAGGCCTCGGGAGAAAATTTGTTTATTTCCACATCGCCGATGATTTTTACACAGTGGGACCTAGCGATTACGAGTAAATCGGGAGATCCTCGGCGATTTGCAATCCGAAAATTCCGAACTTAGACACAGTTTTACAGATATGTGATCTGCATAGAGTTCGCACGACATACGGACCGACGACAGTATTGTCCAGGTTCTCTATAATTCTTAGATACGAATTACTAGAGAGATAATTGTATAATCAACCCGTAAAATGTTTACGGAAACTTTGACTTCTGGAATCAAAGCTAATGTGTGCACATATAAAGACTTACACCATTAAGGTATTAGTGATTTTTTTTTTTGCAAACATTTTGCTCCCTTTTTCAGTAATTCCATATTGGTTCAAGGCTGCCAAAGAGGGAAAGATACCTACCCGTGGCAACGTTTTGGTAAATAATTTATCTTTGTATCGATATTGTCACGATATTACATTTAAAAACAAATTTAAAATGACATCACTGGAGACCGTCCGCCATTTTACATCAAGTTGCAGGATGAACACTATGTCAAAAAAGGAAAATAAAACGCATTTTAAAGTATTAGTATCAATTTTACCCAACGGATCCAGAAAAGAAATTGTTATTAAGAGAATTTATGTCAGACATTAAGTGTGACGTGTGTAGACGGTCGTGTGATTTCGTATGTATCTATAGATCCTTTGGGTTTCATTCACATAATCTTAATCTAAAATAGTTTACTAATGCAGCCTATTCTTTGGTAAATAAGTGAAGTTTGTATTGGAATCTTCAAAAATTCCTAAACCGTTGAAAATACATTTTTAGCAATTTGTAAATGTTTCTTTCTATTTAGAACAATACATTTCTATATTACATCTTTCAATGTTTTGAGATCATTCATGAAGATGCAAAAGAACAAAACGAAAATAAATTCCATAGGTTTTGTTACTCACCCGACTCATTTTAGACATTTTCTGATTCATTTCACAAACGGTTGATCTAATATGGCCGCCAAAATCCAAAATGGCGACAGAAATTGACTAGTAAAGTATTCGGCCAAAACCAATAGCAACATACATGTGTTATATGTCGTTACAGGGATTTTGGGGGAACAGGAAACACGAATATGTCATTGCCAAACAGATGGAATTAATTTGAAAGGAAAAAGCATAGAAAAATTAAGCGTTTTCGCGACTAACAACCTTAAATTCTCCCAATCATCCATGAATGTTATTTTGAGACTCGTTGTACATGTTTTCTGAGATTTGAGAGGCATACTGCGGAATACATTATTATATATTGCATTATAATGTATTATGATAGCTGAAATATATGCAGGATAAGATTCATGAATGCCTGAAACAATTTATGATTGTTATTATTATACGTATTGGTCGGTAGTCTCGAAAATGCTTAATTTTTGTATGCTATCTTTTGTCAGATTAGTTCTATCAGCTTGCAAATGACATATTTGCATTTTTCGTCAACCACAATCCCTGAAAAGACATACCACGCAGGTATGTTGCTATTGGTATTGACAGAATACCTTTCGAGCAAATTTCTGTTATCATTTTGGATTTTGGCGGCCATATTGGATTAACCGTTTGTGAAATGAGCTGGAAACTGTCCAAAATGAGTCGGGTGACAAACAAAACCCATAAAATGATATATTACACTGGCCATTTCGCCAACAATGTTTGTCAGGTTCAATTTCAGACCATTTTGGCCGCCATCTTGGATTTTGGGCTCTCCTGGAGTTAAAAAGTAGGGGATATTGAAATGCAAATACCTATGCAGGTTGTGATATGAAATAGTCATGGACACTTGACATGCTTTGAGAGTATGTTCACAGATGAAAATCTTATCGCCCCAACAGAACCAATGAGCTGCACTTGCGACACGCAATAGCGCCGTACACTGAGAGGAGTTCATTGTCAAATTTGACACTTCAAGGAAGGTTTGATGAAAACTGCCGCGTGCTGGTTCATCCTATCCCTGTTCATCCTATCCTATCGGTTCTTGCGTAAGATTTACTGTTTAGTGTATCTTTGCTTTAGTGTGTTACGTTAAATTTGCAATGAGACGTCTTCAAGCATGCTATTAGCATGCTTCAAATGGGTTCTACACAGCGAGCAGTAGCCAACATGCTTAATGTGTCACAGTCTGTTATCAGCAGACTGTGGAACCGGTACCAACAAACACACAATGTTGATGATAGATCTCGTTCAGGTCGTCCTATAGCCACATCACAAGCCCAGGATCGATACATTCGTACCAGGTCCTGCGAAATCGAGGATAAACGGCCAATCAGCTTTCTGTAAAATTGTACCAAGTTACAGGAATTCCAGTTACACCCCAAACGATTAGAAATCGGCTACACGCAGCCCATTTGCATGCGCGACGACCGCGTGTTGTGCCTCAATTAACTCGCCAGCACATGGCAAACAGGCGTCAATGGTGTAGGCAGCGTAGAAATTGGGATAATCGTCGATGGGTGCGTGTAATGTTCTCAGTTGAGTCCAGATTTACTCTGGATTTCACCGATAGGCGTGCTAGCGTTTGGAGGCGTGTAAATGAGAGTCATGCTAACGTTAACGTTAGACAGCATGGCAGACTCGGGCGTTGTCTATTATGGTGTGGGGAGGAATCACCATGACTGGCAGAACGGACTTGCATATTGTTCAAGGAATGGTCACTGGTGTGTACCACCGTGACCACATCCTAGCATCGATAGTTCTGCCCTTTGCTCAACGTGCAGGTCGATGTTTCATCTTTCAAGATGATAATGCCCGTGCCCACCGCTCTCGTGTCGTGAATGACTACCTCCAGTGTCACCATATTGTCCATATGCCTTGGGACATGATATGGAGACGTGTTCGTCGACGTCAACGTCAACCGACAACACTGCAAGAATTGGCCGTGGCACTGCAAGAGGAGTTGGTCAGACTGCCCCAAACCGTGATTGGACGGTTGATTAGGAGCATCCCACGACGAATTGCTGAATGTCTGAGTATTGGTGGAGCAATTACTCGTTATTAAGACAAAAATCAAAAACGTCCATTTTCACTTTTGACAGTGTATCTCTTTACGAGTGAAATGGGGCCGTCAGATAAGCCGCCCATATGAACTGTTATGTTCATGTGTAGTCAACTGGCCTGTTATTAACATACACTGGTTACCTCTAATAAAAACAGCAGTGCATTTCCGCAGTTTTGTATTGTTTCTGAATATCCCCTACTTTTTTTAAAGAGTATATTTGCGTACGAGCAGCAGCCAGTTTGTCGGGCAGTTTTGGTCCGATTTTCACGAAATTCGATCTCAGTCGTCATTAGGGTGTAAATATGAACGATATTTAAAATCGGATAAAAATTGTGACCTCTAGAGGGACCACAAGTTAGAAACGCAATTTTTAGTACAATCGGGGGGCCATAATCCATTAACTATCGAAAGTAACTGAGATCTTAGGGTTATAAACATACATCTTAAGTTTCATTCAAATTGTGACATCTAGAGTGTCCAAAAGCTAAAAACGTGATTTTTCTTACAATCAGAGGTCATGATCCATGTAGTAAACGTCCGATACATACCAATATCGAAATGAACCGAGATCTTTTAGAGATTAACCATTATTTCAAGTTTCGTCAAAATTGGATACAAATTGTGATCTGTAGAGTGTCCACAGACATTTGCGGACCCCGGGCATATGAACTATTACATACTAAAATGACTTATTTTCATTCTAGAAATACTAAAGCCATATATTGGTTAACATTTAAACTGGCGACCGATATTAAAGGTGCTGTGTCATGCTCTCAAATTTTTCAAGTTGCACAAAATCTTTGTTCACAAACCAATTTTGATGAAATTTTCAGAATAAGCTCCAAAGAGCTTAGTTGATCGATTAGCATCAACATTTAAACTGATTTTAAAGTTTTACACTTATTTCTACACTTCACTTTTAAACAGAATATCTATTTTATGATGTCACTTTAAAACAAATCCAGACCAAATATAAAAATTTTAATTGCGCCGACCGATTCCGAAACTGTAAGATTGACTTACATTTTCAAATTGGTGGCACTTCATATGAACTTTACTTTCAGAAATACTCGAAAAAATTAATAGCCGTTTCTTATTGACAAACATTTAGTTATTCATCGACTTTTGAAATAGAATTCCTTTCGGATAGAACAGAGTTTAATTCTGTAGAATATGTACTTTTTCCTAAAAAAATAAGATTAAAAAAAAAGAATACTAGTAATCCGAACAAAAACAATAGCTTTAATAAAAACTAATTACTATTTTTTGTTAGAGTGATCAAGATGTTTTATACAGCCTTGGCCTAAAATAAGATTTTTGTGGGACCAAGAGCACTGTAAATACATTAAGCTTCTTTGTCTAATAGCCACAAATTGCTTCGGAATAAACATATTCCCGAAGCTATGATCCGCGAAATCCCTCTCTAGCCATCTCTTTCATTGCTGGAAGTCGCAGTTGAAACTATATACTGATTACATAAAATGAGTCCGGCTTACTATTCTGAGATGTTCCCTAGAATTTCCGACAGTTATCAACGACACAGTTGGGTTTGACATAGTTCTTGGAGCAACGGTCGCGCCTCTGTGGAACGCTCTGTGTTACAAAATCAGAAAGATAGGGCACGTGGTACATCCTATGATTTTATTTTTCCTAGATTATCTTGATCGATCGACTTAGTATCTCGATCGATCGACTTTTTTCTATAACGAAGCTAAACAGTATTCCCGCACCCGGCTTTGCTTCTACGTCTTTAGTGGCTTAACGACGGTGACGAGAAAGGTGTCGGGAGCTGGAGGAAACGCACTTCCTAATTATCTGCCGTGTTTTATAAAATAGTTATTTTAATACCTTTCCCATTATTTCTTTTAGGTTCATATTGATGGTCACCCTGATACTGTAATCCCAAATTTTGAACAAGGTTTACCCATCTTTCATCAGCCACGCATTTTGCGTCATTTTAAACAACTGATGCAATCTAACGATGGATTTATAATAGTAAGTACTCTGTGTAAACCGAAATTAACAACGGGTTGACACGTAGCCATTGCGTAAATTAATTTGATGTGCGACAAGCCAAACTGGAAAGCATGCACTAGATTGTGCATTCTAGCACTTAACATAACCATTTGAAATATTTTCTACGCACTCGTGGTGCTTGGAAATTGTATCATTACTGAAAATCTACCCAAGGCAAATATTTTAATCAATAGTTTCACTTTCAACAAGAAAAAGCTGAGTACACTATTTCGCCGATTCCGTTTTTTAGGACTTTGTCTAATGGTTAGGATTGTTCGTATTTGATTTGATTTCTCAATTGGCACTAGTAATTAATAGGATTATTATTTAACAAGGTAGTAGTGTTTATAGATGGCATGTATTTTACGGCTTTATCAATACTAATATTTGTGACTGTCGCTTGTCCTTTTGTTCAGGGTTGGTGGCTACACTAGGGCTGTCCCGAGGCTCAAATATGGTGTTTAGGGAGAACTCGGACCGGGGAGTAACATGGGCTAGGTGGCGTTGGCCTACCCCTTCCGTCTTTGGAGTTATAGGCAGAACCGTGCAGCGCTGGGTCATCCACTAGTTTTAACATAGTCTAAACATATGATTGTAGCTTTAATCAAAGTCACCCCATTCATCAATTTGTGGATTTATCTAAAGAAACAAGACTAGTAGTAGGCTGATAGTTAAAAATATCATTTGCATAACTATAAAATTGCTCGTATTGTTAACCTCAATATTACAAAGTACACCTTTGATTTCAGCCATCCGTCTACGCAGGACTCATCTCAAGAATGATCTGGGTCTATCCATCCTGGAACAAAGACGTTGATAATAATCATGTAACAATGTCTGGATTTGGATATGCTTTCGGGCGTACCTATGAAGATGACCTTCCACTTTGCTATTGTGAAGAATATCTTTCAGAGTCTGATAAAATGGAATGTTATTACATTGGTGAGACTTCCCATCATCACAAAATAATATCACGAACTGACTGTAAAATAAAACAAATAGTAATCCAGGAGGATATAGTCGATTATAAAGCTGAAGAACTTTCACAATCCGATGATTGGATACCTTCAACTGATAATGTGTTCTTTGATATTGACGAAGATTATTATGGGTGTCAAGCTGCTTTCCAATCCCTCGCGGATGTGAAAATTACAGAAAAATATGTAGACGATGTACTAGTGCCAGCTATTGAATCCATTTTCTGTCCACGAAATGCCAAGTCTGAACAGGCTTTTGATAAGATTTTCTACAATTTATTGCAACGTGTTTCAGATAAACCTAAAATTCAACCAAATAATATAATTCAGGACACGTTGCAAGCAATCACACAGGATAACCTATCTGCGGAACTCTGTGGTACGAGAAACGCCGGGATCGGTATTAAAAGCCTGATTGGAAAGTTAGATGTTTTAAATAAGAAACAACTGCGGGCCCTGGCAGAATTGGGGATTTGTTTAAAGTCCACACCAAAAGAGACTGGCTTCGATCGCTTTGATGGTATGAAATTATGTGACGGTTACAATCGAGATAATAACCATAGTCACGTTTTCTTTCATACGCCTACTTTGGATGAAATAAATAAAAGGACAAAACAAATGGAAAGTATATTAAGAAAACTCCCAGAGCCGAAAATGGTAACTATTTGTCGATCATCGAGAGATGGATATGTTCCTGGTCAATTTGTATCTAAAATAGAGACAGATATTATTCAGACACTTGTTAAAGTGTTTCCTAGTATAAAAGAAAGCTCCTTACTTTATGATGCTGAATTACATGGTGGAAAAAAGGGCTGGTACAAAAGACATTCAGATACTCCCTGGTGAAAATTGACAGCTTATGACACAACATTATATAAATTGTTACGTTACTTAAAAGTACGAACTAGCAGATATATAGAAATCGTCAATTTACAATTCATAAAATGATTTATTATAGTGCAGAACAACAATCACAAACTCGATAAAACAATGTGGATTTTACAAATAATATAAAAAAAAGTCGTCATGGACATTAAATATTTTATAGGATGTTTAATGAATCAAACAAGATGACTAGTGATCACCTTGCCGCGCCTCTGCACTTGTTTGGAAGGCATAAGGAAAACAACTTCTTGGAATATCAATGGGACTAGTCAGAAGATTCATAGTCAGTAGCCCACAGTAGCTTTTTATACATAACAAAATAAAATACTATAAAAGGTTGATGTTTGTACAAAGTTTCAAAAAGATTCCTTGAACGAATAATGAAATATGCTCAGGAAACGAAATAGGTTGATGAAGGTATCTTGAACAGTTTCTGAGGAACGAATAATGAAATAAGCCCAGGAAACGAAATGGTTTGATGAATGTACACGTGTTAGAAAGGTATCGTGAACAGTTTCTGGGAATAATAATTATATACCAAAAACTAAGTCAAATGTGTAGTAAAAATTCAAAAAGCATTGAACAGAGAAATTTGTTTCCATGGAAACACAAAAATTATTAAATCCGAAAAATCTCTAATTACTAACACAGGTTGATGTTTGTGCAAATTTTCATGAAAATATTTTGAATATTGTACACCAAAAACTAAGTCAAATTTGTTTCCATGCAAACACAAAATAGATTAAACCTCAGAAATTCCAAATTAGCAATGGCACAACTAATATAATAGGTTAATATTTGTACAAAGCTTGAAGATAGCTTGAATGGTTTATGAGATATGCCCTGGAAACAAAATTGTATACTATAAACTGTCAAATTTGTTTCCATGGAAACACCCAAAAAATCCATGAAATTCCTAAATAGCAAAAGGCACAACTTCTGTAATAGGTCGATGTTTGTGCAAAGTTCCAAAAAGATATCTTAAAGGCACAACTACTAGCACAGTTAATGTTTGTACAAAGTTTCATGAAGATATCTTGAATGGTTTAGGAGATAAATGCTCCGGAAATAAAATTGTACAAATTTGTTTCCATGGAAACACAAACAATATAAATCCCATAAATTCCTATATAGCAAAACGTACAACTACTGTAATAGGTTGATGTTTGTACAAAGTTTGAAAAAGATATCTTGAACGATTTATAAGATATGCTCCGGAAACGAATTCAGGAGGGACGGAGCCCATTTCAATATCCCTCCTAACTTCGTTTGGCGCGGGTAATAACCTACAACTGGTTTTAGTATGACATATCCGGTTTTGTTTATGACGACCCAGCTTTAGAGTTAAGTGTAAGGACCATGATATCTGGCCTGTAATGGACAAGAGGGGATAGTTTTACAGCCTAGAGTCTTATCACCAGATTTAACAATATGGTTATTAGAATTCTTACAGGTATCATAACAATATTTCATAGCTACTTTAAAATTGTTGTGTAGTTTAATTCTTCACATGAGAAATGGAAATTACAAAATAGCCTCAGCTGGCTTCCATATTACCTCCCCGTATCTATTTTCAGTTTCATAATCTAGCTTTGGATAATTAATGTTGTTACGCAAACCTGCATCCCCACCATTTTTGACACATATAAAGTAGGACTCGATAAATGAAAACATTAAAAGTCACCATTGAAAATATTAACAAAGAAATATTGCTGTATTTATTAATTATCCTTGTTATTCTAAGTTATTGTATTAGGTAGATAAGTAAATATTTATTTATATTATTGTTTGTTTTTTTTTCATTTGCAATATTTTTATGTACTATTTGGGAAAAGGGTTTTATTCTCTGACCCCTTTCAGATACGCTGAATAAAATCAAAGTTTATATTTAACAGAAAATATATATTTATCTGTTAGGAACAAAAGATTATACCCATTCCCAAAAGATATTTGAACAGTTTATTGTTTAAGGCAGTAAATATATTTTGCTGATTATTCGGATATGTACTCTAATCGATGTTTATGTCATTAAAACCTCCGATATCCAGAAATGAAATAAAATGGGGTCTAACGTCTTGTTCTGGATCGCCTACGCTAATGAAGAAGGGGGACATTTTGACCGGACAGTGGTAGTGCGGCTTACTCTCATTTGGTATTCCAACTGTCAAGGGCAATGTGCACAAGGGACATTGGCTTTTCCTCCCATCCGAACAGCTATACCCCTTTGCCTTGTCAGGCCCTCAGTTCATTAGTATATGAGGGGGAAGCACGCCGGAAAATCCCTCAGCGGAATCAAACACCAGATCTCCAGGTTAGCGATCCAACGTATTACTCATTAATATATGAGTATGTTATCTGATCACTGTGTAATAAGCCCAGGTGTCAATAGATTATGGTTTGCTTCGCCGTTTACAATAAAACGTCCTTACCAGGGCCGTAACTAGCTCAGAGCAACGAGGGGGCGGGAAGTGTTCTCGGGGGTGCTGTAATATTGACGGACAACGTATATCTATGGTCGAAAATTGTTTCACACGGGGGTGGGGGGTGGCGGCGAAACTTTTTGCAAAAGGTGGGGGAGGGGTTTGCTCTCACCCCTGCCCCCCTCCCTAGTTTCGGGCCTGGTGCTTACGTGTACCCTTATATCTTTCCTGATTATTTATATATATTATCTGACCGATGGAAATGTATACTAAAGCAACCATCACACCAAACACAAGTTCTAAAAAAAACCTACTGCGTCCTAAACAATCGTGGGGGCGGGGGACGTGCGCGCTGTATCATAAAGCCTGTCATTGAGTCAACTGGCGTGGTTTCGATTTCCCGGTTTTACGTGACAAGGAGTAGGGTCGCCTGTCCAACCTCGTGGGTTTTCTCCGGGCACTCCGGTTTCCTCACACTGCTAAAGACCCCTACGTGCAAGCGAATCATTGAAATAAAACTGAACCATGTGTTTGTCCCGAAATGACCTAGTTTGTGTCGAGTGGACGTTAAACCCCATTTCTCTCTCTCCCCCTAAAAAAATCGTTAAACGGGATGTGATCGCGGTAGAATGTGTAAATAGTGTCAATAATACGATATTAGTTCGTGCATAATGCACAGGTTACCAATATCACGATTTGGGCTACGATTGAGTCGTGGTATTAATCGTGGAATAATCATACATTGTGGCCAGTAATTGCAATTGTGCTGATCGTATCGAAACGTATCCCAAAGTATGTGATTCTTGAATTTAGTAGTTTAAATAATGAACAGTTACGGGTATTGGCAAAATTGGGACGGTATGAAATTATGTGATGTGTTCTTTCATACTCCTACCTTGGATGAAATTAATAAAATGACGATCCAGTTGGAAAATATATTAAGAAAACTCTCACCTTTTGTCGCTCATCGAGAGATGGATATGTCCCTATTCAATTTGTATCTAAAATAGAGACAGATATTATTAAGACTCTTGATAAAGTCTTTCCTAATATAACATACAGCTCCCTATATTATGATGCTCAATTGTGAACAAAAAGGCTGGTACAAAAGACATAATGATATGCCTTGGTAAAAATATTATCATACTTGTATATCCAACTATTTATTTGTCTTCTTGCCTTCGCGCTTAATTTCCAAAATTCATTTAGCTAAATAAATGATTCTGAATATAATGGAACTATTAATCCGGCTGTGAAATCTATTCTGAAAGCCATCCGTAAAAATTAGAGCCGGATTGAGTTTGATGTGGCCCTTGCATCAACAGTGAAAACCGGACATATCCTGGCCATTTTCCGTCACATACACACACAAACAAATGCAATTTATATGTCAGTAAGCATGTGTTTTAGATCATGAGGTCTGACATGGAGTCAAGTGGCCTGGTTTCGATCCCACACTTGACGTGACAAGGAGAATATAATCGCCTGAACAAACTCCCGTGTTAATCTCCCCATTGCTAAACGCCTCGATATAAAATTGTATCATATGTCACTCCCCAAATGAACAAGTTGTGTTGCAGTTAAAAGTCACTCTCTCTCTCTCTCTCTCTCTCTCTCTCTCTCTCTCTCAAACAAAATCAATTTACATAGGTTGGTAATATATTGTTGTATTAATTTAACGGCCGGGTGTAAATACATATAAAATTGTATGTTAAATTCAGTTTAATATTTTTTGTTTGACATATAAAATATCCACAATGTCTCACATTTCTGAGCTCAGTTCTAATTCCTATTCTGGTAACATATTTTTGTGTTAATTTAACAAGGCCGTGTAAATACAGATAAAATTGTATGTTAAATTCAGTTCGATATTTTCAAATAATCAATAAGATTATGAAGTTATATTTATTTCATCTGTTTGACATATAAAATATCCTGATGTCTCATATTTCTAAGCTCAGTACTAAGTCATATACTTAAGACTTGATGGCATAATATACAATCAAGGAATTGGCATCAAGCATAACCAAACCTGCATTCGAATCCACCACATTGGTAACTTTAGTTAGAAAACAACATCAATTAAGGCAACAATCGAACAATCAAGAACTAAGCGATCTACGAATCAAGAAATACAATTATCAAAAGGGACCTGATTTTTTTTGATTTTTTTTTAATCTTGAACTCGCCGAAACTTGCGATTTTAAAGAGAAGAGAATCTCTAATCATCAATGGTGACCAACAAGTAAGGAAAAGTCAAGAATTCAACTTTTTGAACATATGTCAACATGGTTTCACGTTAAGGGCAGGGTAATGTGACACCATTTTGTCACAGCACCTGAAATGGGGGGTTCTCAAAAGGGATTTACACCAGCTTTAATGCCAATAAAAAATGGATGGAAATCCAAAATAATGAAATGGGGGATTCTCAAAAGGGATTTACACCAGCTTTAATTCCAATAAAAAATGGATGGAAATCCAAAATAATGACTTTGAAATAAAATTTTTACCAAATAATGAAGCAAATTCCTATGTCAGGACGGCGCAGCCACAAGCTTTATAAAAAAGAACACAGGAAAATTAAACTGGCTAAAAGTTGCTCAGATAATCAAACTCCAGCCATCTAGACTTGAAATCTGAATTTTTTTTTATCAAAACCTAGTTATAGGACCTCAAAGTTTTCAAAAATTTTGTAAACAAAAGGCCATTTTGTTTCAAGCACTACTTTCACTGCATATGTATGGTGTACCACTAGTGGCACAGTGAACAGCAATATTGTCCCTATGATATGAGGTACACAAAGCTATGAATGTGACTGCATTTACCATAGTGTGCTACATTGTACAACTAGCCTTCATATTCCTGATATGACATCTAATTACAATAATAGCAGCCTTTTTTGTGGGGGGGGGGAGATTTTTCAGGACTTGAATACAGGGGCTATACATGTATTACAATTTATGTATATCTGCTAAGGCTTATTACATGTATATAGTTATACCATCCTGATGAATGTATTATTTGTGTGAAAGAGAGAGACAGAGAGACAAAGAGAGGTTTAATGTCATTTTGAGACTAACACATGGTTCAATTTTTTTTCAATAATTCCCTGGCAGTGGGAGGACCCAGAGAAAACCCACGAGGTTGGGCAGGCGACCCTCCTGCTTATCACATACAAGCAGAGAACTGAAAGTATGCCACTTGACTCAATGACAGACCTTGTGATCAAATGTGCACCCGTTAAAGTTTAGGCCACCCAATTTACTTAAAAAGCATTCACCTAATGTACAGGTATGTACATCAAATGGAATAATCCACATTATTTACAATACACCCACCTGTTATTATATTAAAGTCAACAAATCCTAAATCACGTTTCAGTTCTGGCATTCACTAGACAAGTATTCCTATATTTCTGAAAAATAAATAATGTAGAGGTATATTTTTCAATTGATTTTCTAAATCCAACACATACATAAATTCTATAATTAAACCTCAATATACATGTACATGTGTAAAGCATTCAGCATTATTTGCAAACTTCCAATGATATCAGATGTTCTAGTTAATTAGATGCTGACATACATGAATCCCATCCATTTACAAATGTACACTGTATTTGTCTTCTAGAAGGGTTGGTACGATGTAGATTTGTAAACTTGCCAACAGGGTTTTTGTAAATAGTAATAGTGATATTTTGGGCCTACCCTGCCCATACACAACACTCATCACTTTGCAAAAGTGTAACTTTACTGTCTAGAGAGGGAATGTTTTAGACTGGCAGGGATGTGATGGTTGCTTTAGGCATGCTAGATTTAAAAAAAAGGCAGCTACCATTGTAGATACATTAACCATCAGTTTGGAGGATTATAAATCCACACATATTCACATATTTTATTTTAATAGGAATGTTTGCTTTTGAGGTTTTTTTCGATAAAATTTGACAATAAGTACCATTTTAAAGTTATTTTTATCATAAATGCCACATAATTTGTAATGCTGCTTTAAATTCCAAAGAAATCATAGTTTTACTTGTATATCTGTCAAATTACACAAGTCTCTAACTCGATATAATCAAAGGTCTTCGACCTTGAAAATACAAATTATTTGTCAGTTTAAGTCAACATTGATGTGATCTTACTAGGAAAAGATGGGCTTCTGATATCCGAAATTCAAGACAAAATAAACATTTTACAATTGGTACACGAATCGTGTACCATGCTGCGTTTCAGTGTCATTTGTAACAAGGGACTCGAAGAACGAGGCTAGACACTTTCCACAAGTCATGTCAAGCGGTGACGACATATTCTTATCTGGAGAGCATGCCCAATAAATACTATCATTGTAGACTGGAATAACCAGAC